GAGTATTTAAGTTTGTGTTAATATGCCAACTAATTTTTGGTCCTCTTAAAAGTACAATATGTCACATTTCCACATTAAAATTAAACAATATTTTGTTGAACCTACAGAGGACAAGCGGTTATAGATAATTGATAGATGAATAGATGGATGGATATTTTGTCGAGCTGTGTCCTTACATGATCCCAAATGTTTCCAACTATGTTTAAACCCAGAGACGATATCCCTTTTACCGCTCTCTAGTTGATATAAATTAACGGGAAACACTCACATGTCAGAGTGTGAGGAAGGAAGTCATAACTAACAGTAACATGCGTAAAACATTGCCTCGTCCGCGAACATGATTTCTGTCTGAGTCATCCCACACATGCTTCACGTTAAGTTGGGAGAAGAGCCATTGTTAAAAATTGCCTACAGTGTTCGTCCCTGCAGGCCCCGCAGTGGGTTTCAGGCTGTGTCATTGAAAATCTACTCAGTTCTCTGACAGGTGAACTCAGGTAGTGTTGCAAAACACTACACACAATATTTTGCAAAACACACTTCTCCACATTAGACATATAAATCTAATATAATGTCAGTTCTTTGCCATTTCGAGGCACAACCCCCCAAAATACCAAACCCATGAACCAACTGATTAGACATGGCCGTCAAGTGTGAAGACAATTTGGTGCTTAACTGTAAACTCACCATGGTGTAAGCACTATAAAAAGGCAACAGGTAAGTTTCCTTTTCTTGTCAACCAAAATGCCAATAGCAATAATGCACGCCTCAGAGAAATCCAAGCACACATCCTCAATGACAACACAGTTTCCAACAACACTCATCATGTCTAATTATCAACCTGAACTGACCTCAGTTACAGATGAAACAGCTGTAGAGTGCCATTTGGACAATACCTCCCACCATGCTCTCCCTTCCTAAATCCCGTTGGGGAGGTTGTTTTTTTTCCGGAACAGAGGTGGAAGGTTTATGTGACCAGAATACTGTTCATTCAAGCCATGGAGGAAGCTTGTGACCAAATTGATGCTGGGTCTGTGCAAAGATGGATTTGCTGAGCATGAAGATTTCCCCCTTGTCTTGCAAGAGAGAACATAGCCTGTGATGTAGATGAGGCCCCGTGACCAGAGGCGAAAAGACAATGCTTAAGTGTCTTTTTTCTTTTTTTTTGTCTCCACAAGTTTTGGCTATCTTTACATATTATACACTATATTTTTTTGTGTTGAATTTTCAGGGCAAAATGCACTATATGGATGTTATGAATTATGCCTGATCGTGGAGAGAAATAATAATCATCAGTATGCACAAAGCCCTTGTGTGTTGTTGTCAATACAGTGTATTCACACATTTAGCCCTAAAAATATTCCTACAAAAAGCCCAACCTATATCATCAGAAAAGTAGAAATGTTAAAAGTGTTTTAGACTAAGCACTGCAGTGTATAACAGGTTCAAACAAAGTGAGATGATTAGTGTATGGTTTTAGGAACTGTGTGTAGAGTTTTTAAAAATTAAGCAGCATATGTGATTTGCTGCCCACTATTTTTGTGGAGTTTGAATATACACACATTGCGCCTTTAAGAAATTCAGTTGGCTACTCACAGTTAATTACATTTGCTTGGGTAGGCTTAAATGGTCTAAACCTAACAATAAATAAATTTAATAGTATAAATTATGAAAAACCGTATGACTGTAGAAATTACTTACTTATTTGATACTTATTGGACAATAGTGTATTTTCATATACACTCACGGTGTATTGGGGCGGTCTTGTCCAGACACTCAACATAACTCCAAGTACAAGTTTATCTCCTGCTGTGACTACACTCACTACAACTTTATTAGCATCTGACAGCACTTACATGAGCGCTTACTGGGCAGGGCCTCACCTTTGTCTGGGTAAGAAAAGGCAAATACTGCTTTTGTTTAAGGCTTGGACACAGATCTGAGCGCCAGACAGTGGAGAAAAAGAGATCATATTGTAGTAATTCTTTCCAATTAATGTTACTGGTGGCTGCTAAATGAGGTCTGATGTTTGGCAGGGTTGGTTTCTATTTAACAAGAGTATGCAGGCACACACACACACACACACACACACACACACACACACACACACCATCTGGCAATCTGCTGATAGCTGCTTGATAGCTGTGGTGGGATTATGTGAAGTTTTTATGGAGAGAGCAGTGACTGTGTGTTAAAGTCCTCTAGATGGCAATGCTGTCTTCTGAATCTGCTTAATCAGAGAAACGGGAGCAGCCCTGATCACTACAAAGCATCTTACTAATTTACTCACATAGCCTGTAATCTCACATTAGCTAACAGTGGTACTTATCTGTGTTATTACTTCTAGATGACGAATAATATAATACAATGAAAAATGCAGTTATGTGTCAGGTTTTGTTTAAGCGTCATGATACCTGACAGAGCTGGATTAACTTTTCCAGGGGGCACTACAGCAAAAATGCGCTGTTGAATTCCCCCCCACACACTCAATCCAGCCAGGCCCCATATTTGTTACTTGTCATGTGGAGTACTAGCCTGTGAGTCCAGTTGTATAATGTTTTCTTTGGCCCTGGAGGAGCTTTTTAAAGTCTGAGAAAATATATAATAGAAATATAAATAATAGAAATCCTTCCTTTTACAGCAGGTTAAAAGTGAAAATGATGTTAAAAAATTCTGGAAGATCTATTGTACTTTGAATGTGGTTTGGTAAAATTAAGGTTGGATGCATCACTTGAAAGAATGTATCTAAAATGTATATACTGTATTCATGTCAGATGAAACATTATCTGCGTTTATGAGTCAGTTTGTGTTTCTTCTTGTTCAAGAGCACAGCTTTTTATTGTGTTGCAGGATGATTTGGTCGTTTTACATAATTGCATGCTTAGCTGTAAAGTTGTCCATAATCTGAACATTCACACAATATAGGTTTGGGGTGGTGGTTGGGATGGATTCACTCACAGAGGCAGGAATGTGATCTGAGACACTGTATCTTTGGACCATCAGTGTAACCTGCATGTCGCTGTGCCATTCAAAACTGAGTGCAAAACAGTTCGGCTTTAAGCAAGACTCACCTCCCCCTGTGGCTTCCTCCCTGGCAATAAAACTTTATTAGCATCTGACAACACTTGTCTTAATGACTCACTCTGACAATGATCTAACACATATACATGTGGTTTTTTCACCTTATGGAAAACAGGCTTCAGCATAGCAGCATCTTCTACAAGCGTGCATCTCAGCCAGCCTTTCCTGCAGCAGTGAGAAAAATATATCCAAAGGAACTCTACTAGTATAGACTTATACACTTAACAAATGGATTAAACGTTTTTTTTGCATAATTGTATGTACTACACTATTGTTTTGGTGATGTCATTTTATGTGTTAAGAAGTTTAGCACCAAAACTGTCTGTGTTTTCAGCATCGCTGGATTAACACAATTTTATCTGGGGATGTGCACTATGTGAGCAACTCAAATAATACTGAGAACACTCAGAATACACTAAGAATAAACAAGATTTTGACACAGGGCATATCTATTAGACAGGGTCACATTATCAGCTAATATTGCAGGATCTGCCTTAATTGAGATTTGCAAGTTTACCCCAAAATGTGCACTTTTATTAAACCAAAATTACCAAATCCAAATGGTGGAAAGTAACTAAGTGCTGTACTTTTATAGTTTTAAGGTATTTGTACTGAACTTGAGTATTTACATTATCTGTGCTCTCTTCTACACTACTACATGAGGTAAATATTTTAAATCAACTGTTTACACTACACTTATCTGATTACTTAAGTTACTAAGTTAATAAGGTACCTAAAATTAGCTCCACCTTTACCAGCTGCAACATAAAAGTGACACATAGATGCATCACTACTTATAGTACAATAATAAATATATACATTATTCTGAAATGGGCCATTCTGCACATGTACTGTTAGTATAATTTTGACATGGAATAGTCCTGCACGGTGGTCTTACTATTTCTACCTAAGTAGAAGAGCCAAGTACTTCTTCCACCACTGCCAACACTTACAACTAAACATAAATGCTCCGTATCTCCCTTTACAGTTTTTCTCAATTGCTGAAACACTATAACCAGGCTTTTGAACTAAAATTCTACACACAAATCCCTTTATTTGTCATTGCCTACACCATGTGATCTTTTAGAAAACTTGAGGTCTATTGGCACACAATTACCCAGGTGGGAACACAAAGAGTCATAACTGATCACACACCAATCAGAACCTTCAATAAAGAGATAAAAGTACCAGAGTCAGTTCATTCAGTTTAGGATCCAGAGAGATGTGAAGGAAGAGGTCGAGGACACCAGAGAGGAGGAGGAAGAGGTAAAGGAAGAGGAACAGTAGGAGTTGGAGGAGGAGTATGAAGAGGAGGTGGTGGAGGAGTGGAGAGAGGTGTAGGGATAGGAGGAGGAGGTGGAGCAGGAGCAGGAAGAGAAAGAAGACGAGGTGGTGAAGGAGGAGTAGGTGGAGGACAAGAATCTCTGGCCTGTCCCAGACCAAAAACAGGATGCTAAGGGCAGAATCATTTATACTGTACAGCACACTAAGGAATTAAAAATTATAATTCCTTTTGTTGTTTATCATATAAAAAGGTTTTTGAGGGGGAGAACCACAAGCAACATTACTAATAACCAGTTTTTGTACTATTGTTTATTTATCTAATCACTGTGTAAGACTGTTGTAGTGCATGTCTGAGGGCAAAGTTTGTTTTTTCAGCAAGATTGAATGGTTTTGAGTAGAGAACTTCATTTTGCCCTGAAAATAGGATGTTTAGGGAATTGGGTGAGAAGAGGCATAATTTCAAGAAACGTGTAAGCAATCCAGAAAAACTGTAAGAAAGCGAACGTTACTGACACTAAGGTGACACAAAAGAAATGTTTTTTATTTATGCCATCTTCGTCATCTTTTTTCCCCAGTGAACCCAGTCACATGTTTTTTCATGTTATTTTATGACCCAGGTTGTGTGAGCAAGACCACTCGTGGTATTTGAGAAGTTTTATTTTTTCATTTTTTTTCAGCATTTCTTACAACAATACAGACGTCACAGAATACATAGTTTTACAAACACAAAGCACACCACCACCTTGGTTGCTGCTGCTGCCGTAAAGGTAAAAGGGGGGGGGTGGGGGGGGTGCTGCGGGTTTTGGAGGTTGCCAGTTCAGCTTTGGCCATCCTTCTAATCCAGAGAATTCCCTCATCCGTTATAGCTAGAAAGAGCCTGCCCTTCAGGGTTGCCATTTTGGGACCTTTTTGCAGCATAGCAATATGATGGAACAATGGAAAAAGCTTTCTTTTGAGACATGTAGGGGGTAAAACAAAACATTTCTAGACTATGATCTGAGAATGATGTTACTCCGAATGAGAGGAAGCAGAGGTGCAGGTTAAAAGAGGCTCAGTTGGACATTGTAGCAACTAAAGAGCAGTTCCATCGTTCTGCTTATTTGCAGCATGGGAATCTCACCATTCGATAAAACTAAAAAAAAAGATCTTTCCTTGCTTTTTTTTCTTCCAGGATACTCTTCAGAAAAATTACACCAGCTAAATCTTGACCATCTAGTCTTGAGTAGTTTATTATTACTTAAATTTTTTTATTCCTGTACAGTGAAATAAAACTTCAACGGATCTTCAAATGATCTTTTTTTTTTAAAAATACAGAAGGCTTCTTTTATTTCCAGCCATTTTTTCCCCAAACGTTATTCCCAAACCCTTCCAACTAAAAACAGGACTTGGATATTATATATATACTTCTGTGTGTGTCTGCTGATGGTAACATGTGTGCATGTGTTTGCATCTGTGTGTGTGTGTGTGTGTGTGTGTGTGAGTGAGAGAGTGAACTCTATGTCATTTACACCCAACATTGTAAACATACATAGAACTATATTACATGTGCTTGCACTGCATCTTGGAGGGGGGGGGACTTTTGGTTTACTTCACTAGAACACCACAAAAGGGGGAATAAGGGGAGAGGGGAAGGGAAGGGCTCGCGAGGAGAAGAAGAAGAGGAGGTGGAGGAGGAGTGTCAAACTCCTTTTCAAGGTTGTGAGGTTATTCTCAGTTTGGTTGAAAGCTCAGTTTTAGTAGACAGGCCCTTTTTTAATTCTCATAAGCAACAGGGGCATGTAGATAAGAGTTTTCTCTATGGAATAGGGAACAAAAAACAAAAAGAAGCTTTCTACCGAGTCTTCAGGGTAGAGCCAATTGTTCAGCACCACCGAAATGTCAAACAAGAGCTAGAGGGGGGAAAAAGAAGTCTTCATTTTCTGTATTAAGATGTTCCTTTCAGCTCCTGCTGCATGAAGCTACCAGGTCTCAGCAGGGCCTAGCTGGGTGTTGGGGGTCTTCACTGACTACAAGTCCTTCAGTGGACACCCCATGTTACATGTACAGAGGAAACAAGCCTTTTGACCAGTGGGATTGCAGGATCCCTTGTTTTAATTAGTTTTTGTCGCGGGTGGCCAGGCAGCCAGCCAGAGAGTCAGTCAGTGCTGCTCAGTCTCAGTTTCATCCAGTTTCAACCTCCTGAAAGAGTCAGTGGAGTCTCAAAGACAGCAGTCTTTTCTCTGTACGCTCTTGGGAGGGTCTGGAGCAGCCGAACCAGGCCATTAAGAGAGACAGAAAACGAATGACGATCGACAGGGAGGACGATGAAATCCAAGATGAGAGGAGGAATGGAAGGACGAGGAGGAGGACGCGGCGGGGGGTGGGGGTGGTTGGAGGTGGGGTAGGTAGGTGCTCTTTACAAGTAGACACGCCTCAGGTCTCCGGGTGAGGTGATGGTGTTGCACTGCGGGCACAGCTTCTTGTTCCCCTGTGATGGAAGGAGAGACAACAGTTAATCTCTGTCACACAAACACACTGACTCATTCATTCAGGATGAAGTGCTGAAATGATTAGTCAAAGGTCAGAAAATGTATCGGTATCCTAATTTATCTAAAATAACAAAACATTGTTTTGATCATTGTTAATTGAGCAAGAAAATAGAAGGGTGATGTGGTTTACAAAGAATATCACAATATTACAGGATATTTATGATGACATAATATTAGAACTACAGTATAAATATTATTACAATACAACTGTGGCTATGTGCTCTTTAACAGAACAGGGATGCAGACCACATTTAGTAAAATATGTCCACCTGGTCAACAGAAAATTTACTTGTGCAGCGAGTTTCTCCTCACACATCCCCTCCTGTTTGTGACAGAACCGTTTGTCTCTACTTTTTCCAATTTGTAAAAAAAAAAAAAATACATTTTGTTTCCAGCATGCACCTCTGGAACAAACTCCTCCACAGCAGAGTTGGTGTGTCATCAAATTTGTCATACAACTACTACTTCCTCCTCCATGCGTGTGAATGTAAAACCAGCATGTTTGCAGCAGAGCACCAACGCCTGGTCCTCCCTTCAGCACTCTGCACTGCTTTGATAGTGTGCCATCCGCCGTAAAGCAGCAGGTGATAATATGCAGCACAGGGCTGACAGCGTAACAAACATTCTGACTGGGTGGTCTCTACCACTGTCCTCCACCTTCTTGTGCTGGGTGGTAACCTCTGGCTGCAGGCACATTCCTGCCAACAGTTTTCACGGTGATGTTTCTACATTGGTTCTATATGTATGAATAAATATGAATGGCAAAATAGATTTTATAAATAAATAGTATAGTGGAACATATGGAGTTAAAAATGACAGGAAGCTGCTGCTAAATATCTCTTTGGTATGTGGAGACTTTCATCAGTCCACTGTAATGTGTGTATAAGGTGTGTAAAACATACATGTGTGTGAATTTAGTCTTTCCCCAAGAAATACTGTGTGTGAGACATCTAACACGGGTACAACAGAATGCAGAAGTCTGGAGTACCTGCACCTTCCAAATCCTTGCAGCCCAGTACAAACGTACAGGCTAGCCTGACCCCAAGATTTATAGGCTTCTTTTCCTGTAAGCCACCGAATAAAGTCTTTGGAGAGGGTGTATAGACTAAGTTAGTCTAAAGGCCGAACACACGCGCGCACACACACACTCACACACTCTTGAGGACTGAGGTGGTGCAAGGGTCTGACAGATCTCACACCCTCCTGCTAAGAGGATTTGTGGCTCCAGAGTACTCAAAACAGTCTCTTCATGTCTCAAGAGAGAATAAAGAAGAAGGAGCAGTGTGGAGGTGAGGAAAGAGAGAAGACGAGAGGATGAAAGACAATCTTGATATTCAATGTCAGTTTTTGTGCTGTGGACATTTAAGTTTCAAAGCTCTCTGTTTGTAAACTAAAACGGAGTAGTGTAGATTGGGCCTCAGTCTCAACCTGGTATGTCAGGGTTTCCACATTTAAAATGTCATGATTTCCCATACCCAATTCACCCAATTAATGTCTTTGTCCCTGGTATTTTACAATTAACACGTCAGCATTAACAGATCATCAGTCTGGTTTCCATTAAGTTCACCTGGCAGTTATATGAATGTGTGATTGATGAGGTCCAATCCTATATTCATGTAAGGAGACATATGTAAGATGTAAAATTACCATAAAATGTACAAAACCTTGGAACTTTCCCTGTTGTGACTCTATGACGCTGCATGATACAGGAGAACTACGTGTTACTACTACTATGTGCATCCCAGAAAGTGTTTTTCAGTCACACACTGTGTGAAGGAGCCTTCCTCTTGTTTGTTTGCACGGCTGCTGAAGCTGTGTACTCCTGTTTAGTGCGGGCGGTAAGTGTGTGTGGGTGTGTGCCCATCATGCTGCGCTCCAGCTGCCATGCTTATTAAAGCGGTACGGGGCTGGGCTGACGTTAACTAGATTCCCAGGCATTTACTTTGATCAGCATGGCCCTCCTGTTTTTATAGCTGTCTCCAGGCTATGAGTTTAATGCCCCATACATTAGACCAGTGACGGCAGCGTGCGCACACACACGCATGCACACGCATGTACATGGATGGAAACAATGGGCCTCATTCTTGAAATTTTCTTGGGTCTCTCTTAAAACCCTACAAGTAATTTATAAAACATGCACACGTTTTTTTGTACACACATGAAGTTCTTTATAAAGTATTGATCTTACATGGGATGCATGTTCCAGATAATCATTAGCACATGAAAATGCCCATTTAAACCTGAATAAGGGCAGAAATCCTTAAAGGTGGTAGGAGGGTATTCTCTGGGCCACGGTGCAGTAAAAAAACGCTCATCGCCATGACAGAATCCACAGGATGCAGAACGCTACTTTTGCAGATGTCAGTTGTGGGTTATTTGCTATTTCATGGCTTAGGACACACCACAAAACTAATACAGGTCGTTGCTTATGAGTTTACTAGTGGCCCTGAAACCATTTAGATTTCGCTTTTCGACAAATACTTTTGAACAACCATTTCATGAATGAGGCACAGTCATTTGCACAATCCTTTGAGTCATTAATTTTCTGCCCCTCTGTGTGTTTGGCCTTGTAATTATGCTAAGAGTGTATTTATAAATTGCAAGTATAATATCAAAGGGAGCTAATGGTGGGGAACTGCTTGTTAGTAATTGTTAGTAATTTACAAAGAGCCACTGAGGTGAGAAGGAATAGGCTTGAGAGTAGAAGAGGAGAGAAAGACAGTGAGGTGAGAGGAAAAAAATACAATAAAGACAGCGAGGATAAAGACAAAGAGGATAACGGCGAGAAACCAAACAAAGCCAATGACTTGTTTATCCTTCCAGCAGCAGAAAGAAGCACTGCGCTCCATTTACCACATTAGCACCAGCTAATTACACACTACTGAATGTATTACACTAACTAATAACCAACAAAACCATTGTGGGTGTGTGTGGAGACCTGAGGCGCTATGTAGAACTCATTGGAAGTTCGAGTTGACCACTTTATTCCAACATTTTAACAAGCCTGTTGGGGACCATTCCATCTAAGCTTTCCCCTACTGAGAACTGGAAATGTTTGCCTTGCCTCTATTTTGTGCGTCTGCATGTGTGTGTGCGTGCGCAGCGAGAGAACCGGTCATTTGGGGAATATTTCATTTTAGTTCCTCCCTATGGGGCTCGGCTACAGAGAGAAACTCACTGACTATGAAATGAGGCTGCAATAACTGCATGTCACGAGGAACTGCCCTGCAGCACGGAGGAGTGTGTGTGGACAAGTGTGAGAGTTCGTGCGTACCAGAGTCCTGAGCCAGCATTCTTCACAATGGACGTGCCAGCACTGGATGGAGGTGAGCGGCATCGTGTAGGAGTCCTAGACACAGAGAGATGGAAAACATTTGACACCAAATTCAAAGAACACACAGATGTCAGTTTACAAAACACTGTACATTCCCTGACCGACAGCACCAAACCACTAACCATGGAACGACACAGCCAACAGCCACAGAACCACTGAGCAAGGCAGCATGGGGGGCAACTGAACCGGCAACCTGCAGGTCACACACACACACACGCACACACACACAGACACTATATCGGGCAGGCAACGAGCAGAGACGGAGGGAGGCAGGCAGAGGGTGGAGAAGATGAGGGAGAAAGCCACGAATGAACCCAATCAGATGGGCACTCTTTTTCTTTTCCTCTGGAAAAGAACGGAGAGATGAGGGAGGAAGGGGGAGAGGAGCGGAGGAGGGAGGGAGTGCCTTACCCTCCGTAGGGGCTGTGGGAGGAGCCTCTTTATGCCGCTGCCGTAGCCACCAATCACAAGGCCCCTGTACAGGCAGTACAGGCCGAGGGGGAGGGACTTAGGCTGCCTCTCTCCGACCTCATTGGCCAGTGGCCGGGGCCCTGGCCACACCCCTAGACTCTTGATCTCCGCACCTGATTGGATAGCAGGCTTCCTCTGCGGAAGGGAGGGATGGGGGTGGGAGAGGAGAGGGGGCGAAAGGTGGCAGCTAATCATAGAGGTGGGCTTGTACTGATCACGCACATACAAAACACCACAGTGCAACAAACACGCATGTGGCCAAACACAAACCCACACACACTCGCACCAAGAGTGTGTACAGTTTGGACTGCCAATGAACAAATTGCTCTGAAGAAATGCTAAAAAACTCTCATTCTCCGGTCGCATTGACTTTTAGGCCATTTAACACCTAGCATTAAAATGCATCTCGCAGAGTATGATTTTAACCTGATTACATTTACACCTGGTATTACTAAGTGTCTCCAGTGTGCACATTGAGATCCGATCAAGATCTGATCGCTCTGTCCAGCTCAAACAACAGAAATCCGTCCTCCTCTCCTTTACCCAAAAAATGATCTATAACTATAAACTAAAGATTAGTTTTCTTCCATGGATTATAAATCTTGTTTTCTTCTCTCTTCAGCGGTGCAACAATGTAATAGTTTGGCTGCAAAGTGAAAGTGAAACTTAAGTTCCATCTGCCATCGCTTCTTAGCGCTTTTTTCATAAAATGTACTCCTTTCTATTATTTGTTTTAACTCAACTGCATGTGAGCTCACATTCACAAATGGATACGTTCATTACACTGTTCACCAGTAACACGCTTAATGAACGCCACTTTTTAAGCACGATAAGCACTGTCTGACAGGATATTTAATTTTGAAGGTACGGTTAATGACATTTACATTTTGAAATAAATGTCTCCATTATCCACTGCCCTCCACTGAAGCTGCCAACACAACAATGCTCTAAGATGGGGGATGCCTGTTTGTGCAACTCACAAATATTTTAATTATTGATCTATCTGTCGATTAAGTTCTCGACAAAATCAATTAGTTGTATGGGGGAAAATGCCCATCTCAATTTCCTAAAGCCCATGGTGATGTGTTCAAATGTCAGGTTTTGACTGATCAACAAACCCAAAGATACTCGGTCACAGAAGATTAAAGAAACCAGAAAATATTCACATGTGAGAAGTTGAAACCAGAGAATATTTTAATTATTGTTATTAATTATTACATGAATGTGCTAAGCTGCTGGGTATGTTCAGTTTTTGTGGTGCAAAAATGTTTGGCTCGGACTTTTTTTCTGTTGTGGGCAAACTTCAGTTTGCTGGTTATTCAGTAAGTTGTATGAATAACCATTAATACCTAACAATATTACCAGGATTACTTAAAAAAACAAATAATTAAATAAATAATGTGCCTTGTAGTATATGAATCAGGAGTCTCTATAAAACAAGGCTGAATTTCCCTTCCTAAAATGACCAGAAGATGGGAGTAGAAATCCAGTGATAAGACCAAACCAGCACTGAGCCCGCTTCCGGACCAGGACAGGATAAAGGACAACTTGAGCCAACTTGGCTGGAGCAGGAGAACATGCGTTTTCTACTTACATACAACAACCTGAGCACTGGAATGTTATGATCCATGCTAAACAGTTTCAGTTACTGAATCATAGCTCTGCTAAAAATGTTTCTGCATCTACTTGGAGGCTGCAGAGATGAAAATGCTTCCAGTTTGCCAACTAGTCTTCTGATGCCTTTTAGATGAGACACGCAGTGACAGGAAAGGAATGCGCTGACAAGTTAAAGACAGACAGAGACAGATTAGATGTAAGCGTCTGTGTGTGTGTGAAAATTGTTTGTGTTTTGCTGTACGTGTGGGTGTGGGTGTGTGAGATGAGGGACAGTGACAGATGAGCGGAGAAGAGCCGCGTGTCCACGAGGCAGTGAGTGATCGATCGCTGTGCCTTGCCCTCCGTGTCACCTCAGGCACCCAGCGACCTTTAGGAAGCGCAGGCGTCAGTAATTAACCGCTTTTCACACACACACACACACACACACACACACACATACACACGCACGCACAGGATGCCAATGCTGCACTGTCCACAAGCTTGAAGGATGGGTACTTGACACAAAGTGAGGAACACAAACACTGGTGGGGGGCGCAGGTATAGTCGTATCTCAAGCATCCGATGAACATGGACACGTCCCTCACTCTGCCTGATTTTGTCATGGATGAACATGTGGCTTATTTTATTGATCTGGGAGTCAAATCAATAACCTATACATGCTGTAAAGCTTTGAACCATCTTCACACATTACAATGCAATGCTGCTTTGCTATTTGATGCTAGCTGGGGTATATCACCTAGATTTAATCTCTTATATGTGCTGCCGGGTCACAAATATATTTTACATGTCTGAATATATGACAGAAAGCAGTCAGTTTCTAAGGCCGGTGATGCATTGCTCATAAGGTGGCGCTTCAGTTAAATCAGATGGTAAAACAAACTGATATTACCACTGGAGTCTCTTATCGTAGCACACATTCAGTTGACTTGCAAAGCCATGCAAGAGCCTAAACCACCACAACAGGGGAGCAACACAACACCACTCATACGCCTTTAAAGGGAGGTACACATCCACAAACTGAGGGAAAGGTATACATGCAAACTTCAAGGAGGATCCAGCATACAACACAGTACACTTAACGTCATTTAATACGTGTGTCTGTTGACCACTGTGATTACAAATTGTTTACACTGACTGGGGTCCTATTCAGGGGCTGAATCCTCGACAGGGGAGTGTATTGTTCAAAACAATCTGAGGACCAGGCTGACCCTGCACCTCCTCCCCAAATTGGATATTCTAGCCTCAGAGACCAAAACTAATGTAGTAAGGTAACCCAAATATCCTCATAAAAAATTCTCTGTAAGAAGATGTGATTAACATTTCCAGGATGCTTACAAGAACTAAGAGCTGAGCTTATGCCCGGTTTCCATTCTGCACATCCTGTGTTGTTCATATGATGCATCTGCCAGTGATTGATGACCACGTTAATCCAAATACCAGGAAAGTACAATTTGGCCACAAACTCACAAGCAGTGCCTGAAGCCTCTTTTGAAAAAGCGCCCAATGTGCAGTGGGGTTGTGGGATACTTCAGTTTGCAGAGATGTGCAGTCTCTGTTGTGTCCTATATACAGTACAACTGGAAAAATTAAAGGCAGTATTTGGAAAAGCCTTTGGCATGGGACAATTGCTGTTTGCCCAATATGACGTATTTAGTGTAATAATGTCGATTTTAGAGGATCCAGCCACTGGAGTGGGACATAATATCGGTATGTAACTGTTCGGAAATTTGCTAGACTGGAGTACAGGAAGATGGTGGTGTTCATTTAGGAGCAAAATTTAAAGTTAACTACTAACCCAATCCTCCAAACCATGGCCGCAGGTTTTACAAATGCTAAGATTTTGTGCCTTATGACAAATGGCACATTATGACAATTAAGGGTTGATGTGCAGAGAAACAGAGAACATTCATATGAATGTTATACTCACCATGCAGATGAGACACTTGTATCGGTCTCCTCTCAGTATCTGCCTCTCCAGCTCTCTGATTCGAGCCTTGAGAGCCTCCATGGTGGTAGCTGTGGACTCCTCCTCTGTTACTCTGAGGAAGAGGAACAGACAGAGGGATAGATGTTTAGTTTTGGCATTAGAAGCCATACTGGCAGGTATGAGACACTGTGTAAAATTCCACACTATTTCTTTCAGGTGGTTTTCGAAAAGTTCTTTATTTACACTTGGTAGAAATTGGCAAAATCTCTTCTGTGTCTTGAGAACAAACATCAAGCAATCTTCTGTCTAACGTTCAGTCTTGACAAACTATTGCACTCTTATTTGACCCTACTATTTAAATATACTGTATCTGTTCTTTCTCCATACGGGAATTTCATTTACATTACATTTAAACTTTACTTAAATGTTCAATTCTGATTCACAGCCATCTGATTATTCTGTAGTGGAAACCTGCTCTCTCACTCCATATGTGGTATGACATGTTTCTATTGAAAACCTCTTTCTCATTACCTTTTGTCTCTCTGCAGCTCAATACAAAGTCGGACATCTTTAAAGCCCCCTGCCCTTTATTTCTCTCTTTGTGTCCAATATGTAGTACAACTGCCTTCGAATGAACGCAGCTGCATCCTCAAAGGCCCAGTCTACATCTTTAGCCCCCTTCCCTAACTCATTTCCCACCATCATTTCCATTTTCCTCCTCCTCCTTTTCATCCTTCATTTCCCTCTGTTTTGACTTAAAAGCAAAAGCCTTGTTCTCTTTATCTCGCATTCATCTTTCGTCTGCATCTCCTCACTCATATTTTCCATGTCCGTATCATCCTTATGTGTCCATCTGTCCCTCGCAATCTATCTCCTTGCCTCTGTATTTATCTCCTCTTCCCCTTGTGTCCTTTCATCCCTCTCTCATTTTATCCACCATCCTCCCTTTCTTCCTGTCTCTAAGCAGTTTCTGATTAATGCGTAGCATGATAACAGAAAATGTGCATTTAACACTGTCCGACAGCATATGAAGCAGCCATAACTAAATCAATACGGCCGCCGCACAGACCACAACGCTACTGCTGCTGATGATTTGACACAGCGGGATGAGGCCGCACGAGCCAGCCGGTGTTTATTATGGCCATCCACTCGTTCTCTGGCATGATGCAATGGCAGTGTGTGAGAGTTAAAAACGGCGCAAGTGTGTGTGTTTATGGTGATGTGGTCATTTTGCAGCCTGATAGCTAGCTGATCTATGGTATTGATCTGGATCGGGAAGGACAAGCGGGGAGACGGGGAGGGAAAGAGAACGATAAGTGGCTGTGTGTGTGTGTCCTAGGATATGGCTTCATTTGCTGCATCCTCAAACAGCAGAGGCTGCAGGGAAAAGAAAACAATGGACTTTCGCAGTATCCTATTTAGAGGCAGGTTTCTGTGAATCTAGTAGTTTTACATCTAATTTCTTTATTCCCATCATCAAGCTCATTAAAATAAATTAAACCTTTAAAATAAATTGAAAATTAAATCAAAATTAAACATTTCGGGTTTGCATGGCTATCACCAGACTTCTTCAAACACACACTGAAGCTTAGCAGAGAAGTGCTATGTTTGCAGTTAGTTCAATTTCTTTTTGGCAGAAACTTGTTGAGGAGCAACGATAACTTGGACACAGCAAAAGCTCCCCATTCTTTCTGTATCTCTTAAATCCTTTAAATTATGCTGCCACCATTTTACTACAGGATATTCACAGATCATAAATTGGCCACTGGGAAATCTCAATTTTGATTGGCTGACAGGTGCCAATTACTTGTGCCAAAGTGACCCAGAAAGCAGAAAGCAACGCTTTGAATGTGTCAGGAACTTGAAGCCCATATCCCTGTCTTCTGAAATGTACCCCTAAATCATACATTAGTTGTTTGTGCAATTGACTGACTAATTGATGTCTTTAATTTTATTACTGATGGCTAGAGCTGTTATATAATGAATCAATTAGTCAATCGAAAGCAACTATTTTGATTATCGATTAAATGTTTAGGTAATTGTTTCTATGCGAAAACCCTATTCTATCTCAAATTCCAGCCTATTAGATGTCTCAGATCTTCTGCTTTCTCCATTTTATCTAACAGTAAATAGAATATCTTTTCTATTTTTCAATTTTAAGGATTCTTATAGAGATTCCTGTCACTTTCCTTCCTCTGCAGGGAAATCAGAGGTCAGGATCAGTTACAGAGCAGCATTACTGAGGCCAGTCGGGACTTGTCTTGGTCAAGAACATTTTAGCAGGTTGATTGTCGTCACAGGGACGTCCTTTGGTTGAAGGACACTGAGCTCTTCTGCCACCACAAATGTAGCTGAAGGTTTTGCTGCGTCCATAAGGTCTCTGGGAAGAGGTGACCTGCTCTAGCTCCTCCCTGTAACCCCATCACCATCCTGTGTCTATAAAGACCTAGTTTGGACTCCCAGCCTGGCTCGCCACTCCATGCCCTATAAACTGCTTTAACCTCTCCTCTTATTAGTTCTGAGCTTGTAAAAAGTCATTTAGCCTTGATTAGCCTGCTAGCTTATAAGCAGCAGTAGACTCTGGGCTGGACGGGACTGGACGGGGGTTGTCCCTCAAACAAGGCTGTCTCTTTCTTTTAACAGCGCCAATAAAGCTGAGCACGAAACTCTGCCAAGGGGCTCTCCTTCCTTGTCCGAAGTGAGCTAAAGAACTGAGACTAAAAAAACAACAACCTTTGATTCTTTCTCTTTTCTCCCAACAACACTCTCCTCTCCTGTCTCCTCTCTATTATGCTTTCTATCGCTACAATGAACATTCATTTTGCACAGCTAATGTATAGAAAATCACATTTAAAAAGTTGTTTAATTTCCCATTGCTATAAATAGAGCTGATCTTTCTTTATTCAGCAGTGGTCATCTAAACAGGGAGAGGGTGAGGTGGAGGGGGAAGTAAAAGGGAATGGCGGAGGTGCAGAGATTTAATGAAGGTGAAAAGGAAGAGAACAGGGTGATTTCACAGGGCCGAGGTAAGGAAAGACAACCCTCTGGGGCTAAATGTGACACATAGAGAGATAAACAGCCTTTCAACCAGCAAGAACCACAGGTAAAAATCCTTGAGTTTAAGGTCTTTATGCTATTTGTGTGTGTCACTGATTTAAGCTGGCTCAGGGGTTTTCAACCTTTTCAGTCTTGGAGCCAAAGCACAAAGATTTATGTCACTCTGGGACCCAGTCTCAGCAAACATTTCATGTAGACTTACAGTTTAATTTGGGTTACAACCTAAAATGGAAAAGGTATCCCTGGGTCCGGAAATATACACAAACAGTCTGTCTGGGTTGGCTTCTAATCAGCATAGCAGTTAAGTTTCTATGAATGTGGATCCAAGGAGGAGCCAAATGTTATTTACGCTGCTATAAAACATACCATCCGCAATCTGTGTACTTTGCCAACCTGGATCCAATGAAAATATGTCTGAACCCAAACCTACAATGTTCAGTCTACATCAAATACTGCAGTGAGTATGCCATTGCACTCTGTTGAAAATATTTTGTTCTTAGTACAACAGCCTGAATATATATGCGTCTCCCTCCATTTATGGATATTTACTGGTATGTACTGTGCATCTGTTTTCTCTGTGTTTGAGAGTTTGGGGGACTAGGGTCTCTCTGGCTTGATGGGTTTTAACTGAACCTGTTAAAACTGCATAATCTGCTGGCCTTGATCTGCATTCAGATCAAGGCCAGCAGATTATGGCAAAATAAAACTAAAGGACCTACATAAGACATAAATACAACTTCCATTCTCACAAGATGCTCCTCCAATTTAGTTACTGCCCCACAGGGCTTTCTGAATGGTGTGTGCATGTATGTGAGTGAAAGAAAGTGAAATTGCAGGGCATTTCCATCTCCAGTCATCCCTATGGCGACAAGCAAGCAAGAAAGCATGACAGAGACAGATAGATGGCCGTGCCTCCCCTCTATTTAGCGCTCTGTCCCCAATGTGTGTGGGGCTATTTCTCATTTCATTAGTGTGTGTTTGTGTGTCTGTGTGTAGCTGAAGACCACCACCATCCATCTCAATCAGCCCTGTGTCTTAATCTACTGTCTACCTACATTTAGGCCTCACTCAGCATCACTCAGAGCACACACAAATGATAAAATTATATAACAATTAATTTTTAAAAACTACTTGGGCAAATACTGTAATCACCAGGTAGGGAAATAAATCTCCCACACATATGTGCTGTGAAAAAATAGCAGCGGTAAATCCCTTTAGAGCATCATTCTCTGCTTCACCCTGTTAACCGAGGCCTTAACTACACTGACAGACCATGATAAAACATTTAAGTCACTATTGATTTCCCCTGCCTCAGCCAGATGTGTATGTGCGTCTGTGTGTGCAGGTCTCAGATGGCAAAAGGGAATGGGGGCCAGCGTTTTGTAGGAGCCTGAGAAAAATTAAGACAGAGGACGGGAAGGAAAGAAAAATGGGAAAGAGAAAGAAGAGAAGAAAGAGAGAAATGTGACTTAGCGACAACAATAAAGAGGGGAACGACAGAGGAAAAGGCAGCGAGAGACACTAGACAGTGTGTGTGTGTATGTGGTAAAAATCTAGCTTCATCACTTCCAAATTGAGGACAGATTCAATTATTTGCAGAAACCACATGGAAATCTCTCCGCATTGTTCCAGCTGGAGCACCAAATTTGGCAGCAATCACATTGGCGGCATTGGAGGGGCCATTTATCTTAGAGGGGAAAGAGCGTCTCCGGTGTTGTACGTGTCTATGTGTGTATGTGTGTGTGTGTGTGTGAGTGAGAGAGAGAGCTCATTTATCTTGCAGGGGAATGAGCAAGGGAACGAGGACACCCCGGGAGGCGACCAGATCATTACCCATCTGGGATCAGAGACAGAGAGAGAGATTTCACTAACGCTGCCCTGTGCAAAGCCACACACACACACGGCACACACGTACACACGTACAATGTATCAATGTAACGAAAGGAGACAAATCTCATTTTCATTTGGGGACGGAGGGGCACAGAAGCTCCACAAATACGTGCATTTATAGCAAGCGGAGCAGAGTGAGGCAGGGAATTGTTCCAGCCAGCCAGCTGACTGCTTGTTCCAATGCAATCATTCAGCATCTAGTTGGCTCCCTTTAAATGGATACTTAGATTAAGGCATGTTCTGCTCCAGGTGGCCACTAAGACCTCAGCTAGAACATCATGTTGCAACACACACACCCCTACAATTTGGCCATAACAAAGTCATAGCATCACATTTTCTTCAGAAACCCCTTGGTAATGAGCTCCCAGTAGATGATGACTTTTTACTAGGGATGCACAGACTTATAATACTCCTAATACCGATCCTAAACACTCATCTCATGAAATAAATTTGTCTAATAGTTGGTGTCCTATTTATGCAAGGTAACAGGAGAAAGGGATTGGTGTAGCCATTAAAACTCAGGTGACGGCCTGTGTTGACTGAATGATTGTGGCTGATTATTAGAAAAACGGATATTTTGTAATGACATTGACAAAGAAAATTAATGTGGATCAGTGACATCTGGCCGACACCCGATCTGGTTAATAAGTTCAGCATTTGCGATGATACTGAACTGGTGGATCTAATTAGTGCATCTCTACTTTCAACATCAATGACAAATATATATATATATATAATTCATCCATTGGCCGTGTATCTTGGCTTTGAACCTGAAAATCTGACAAAACTTGTTAGCTGTCTGCTAAACTCTAAATATATCAGTGTTAGAAATATGGTGAGTGCTTATCTCGATCATCACTTAAGAATATTTGTATTACAATCTGCAGCATACATATATGGGCTGTACTATGCAAACAAAGCAGCACGTGGAGGGCATCTCCACCTCACTGATATCAGTAACATACCAACACGTGTGTTTGTGTGCACACTAGTGAGTAAATCAGCACCGTCCAACTGCCTCTCTTCTCAGACACACTGCCCTGTCTACATCTCTTTCCCTCAGACATAAACACACACAAAGTAAAACAAGGACGATCACACCACAGACAACAAATTATCCAATGCATCTCCTAACTCAGCAAACGCGCGCCCGCGCACACACACACACACACACCTCTTGCCTTGCAGTGCTGTTGCTGATCAATACACTTAAAGCTGCTCTGCTTTTTCACCAGTTATCCCATCTGCTGATATTTAATATGGAGAACACACACGCACTGAGTGCTGATTGATTCATTTAAATGAAGCATTTATCACGTGAAGCCTTCCCAGAGGTGATGGGAAAAATGTCAAATACTTACTTCACAATCACAAACATACAAGTTATTTCTTAAATTTAATATTTCTTTTAGTAAACACGCTTTTTAAACTTTCCTAAATCACATTCTGTCATAAGTTTACTGCTCTGCTAGCCAATTTCCAGTAACAGAAGAAATAATGCTGTGAACACTTGTAATACTTTGAAGAAATGACTAAAGAGGGAAAGGTTAGGGAAATGAGATGAGAGTGGGTATTTTAAGGGAGTATTCCAAAAGGCACTTAAGGTGGACAAAGGAAATCACTTTAAGAAATAAGGGCTAGGATGGAAAGAAGCAAGCACACTGACCTCAGCTCAGTGTGTGTGTGTGCGCCCGTAATAGCATGGGGCAAAAGGACAGGAGAATATGCCAGACATGCAGAAGCAGCCTATCAACCAAATCCCTCTTTCTCTTTGCTCGCTTGCCCACCGACGTTTCTCTCTCGAGCTTACAATGAGCTGACCTCTATTACCCATGCAGGGGACAGGGTGTGTGTGGGTGTGAGAGAGATTGTTTACTTGAGGCAGAATATGGATGAGGAGATGGAAATGAGGGAATTACTGAGTGCTGGCCTTTCACACACAGGGTGATCTAATGGATAGGGCAAGTTGTGTGTGTGATATACGTGATATATATATATATATGTGTGTGTGTGTTGAAGCTAGCGGAAGAGAGTTTTTCTACTGTCCAATCCAGCCTCCAGCTGCAGTCATACAGGTCGATGTGACATCTTTTAAAGGAATGACTTTTTTTTGGAGTACTTCTGCCAGACCTTCCTTCAAATCATCCATCGTGAAATCCCCGAAGTAAATCACATTTATCAGTTCAATCAATTTATTCTTAGCATCCAGGATAATTGCATGAGCCTATAAACTGTTACAGAGTCGCGTCTCAAATTTTAACAACAAAACTAACATAATGTAAATAGAGAACGAAGCGCAACTCATTTCTGTTCACTGCTTCAACGCACTCAGTTTACCACAACAGCAAATCTGAGAAGTCACCCGTTAACTTGTCACTGAAGTGAGGCAGGGGAGGCACCGATTATGAAATAACATATTTTAGGGTTATGCTTTCACAACACAGAAAATAAATCTGCAATAATCAACTTGAGTGGAGTGCCAAAAGGGGGAAACAAACGCAGAAGAGTGGAAAGAAATCCCCCCCCTCCATGTTTGAATTATAGTTCATTATTTAGTGTAATTTTGAACACTGCGTGCCATGAGGGTAATTTGTTTCCCCCATATCCAATAATCAAACATAATCAAACAGTACATAAAACAAGTGCTACCTGTATGAATGCCACATGTGTGATGTTCAGTTTCAGCTGTTTACCGTGGATCATGTCTCAGCGTATAAACAGTGTTGAAGGCATGTGTGTACATCAGTGAGAACAAACATTTGCGTGTGTTTTCACACTGCTGCCCTGGAACTAGTGTGTGCCTAGTATCTGCATGTGTCTCTGTTCCCCATTAACGATTCTAAGGCAGCTCTGTGCTCTGAGAGAACATGACTGCAGAAAAAAATCAATACCTGGAGAGACCCTCCCTATCTCTCTCTCTCCCTTTCTTTCACACAAAGAAAAAACAGAATTCTCACTAAATGCATAATGTATGACCCTCTACAAGTCAACTCTCCACAAGTAAGAAAACTCATCAGAAAGTCATAGAATCACCATGAGTGTGTGTGTGTGTGTGTGTGTTCTGTCTGATACTACAATGGGAAGTCATTCTCTGTCTCACATTTTACAACTACATCATGATGTGTGTGCGTGCGTGAGTCCACGTATATATGTGTAACCTACTTTTCAATCTCACTGTTTTTACAGGTGCGCGGGGCGCATGAGGAAGAGGAGGAGGATGAAGGAGTGCTGGAGTCTGTCTTGCTGCTTTCTCCGTTGCTCGTTGAAGGCATCTCTGTAAACACACAAACAGGTGACATGATTAACACTGGATGGTGACTTCCCTAGTTGCAATTAGCAAAGAGCTGCAATGCTAATTATCTCTTCGTGAGTAACTGTCAGTCAATGACAAAATTAATAGATTGGTATGTAACAAATCCAATAGATATAGATTTTGGAGAATAAAAACTACCAAGTGCTGTTTTTTGCCTATACAGTAGATCAAGCGGGAACATTTTTCTGGCCCTACATACCATCGCTGGCCCATTTGGAGAATTCAGGCGTTATTCTGTTGGAAGGCATCCCACCGCTGCAACACAGAGACACACAAATGTTGGTATGAACAGAGCCTTAACGTTTTATCATCTTTCACTAACAGCGGTTTAGCAAAGTTTGCATTTTGCTAGGTTGACTGTGTATAAGTTTTTAGTAGTTAAGGCTTTGTACTTGAGAACGGCTCCCCGTAGCGCCTCCCTCTCTCTGGCCTCTCCTTGGTCCTCTCCAGCTCCAGAGCAGGGGATGATATCGGCCTCGGTGTACTGGGCCTTGCCGTACTCCAAGGTGTCATCTCCGTCCACATCGAGGTCAGCGTCACTGTCTGCCGCACTCTCCTTGATACTACACGTGGCAAAACCTGTTCCTGTGAAAATAATATTAAGAAAATATTTAAGCACAGTAGGGCTGACCCCGAATAGTCAAAGAGTCGATGGGCTTATTTTACATAGAACTACCAGCTTTCTCCCAATAAGATAATATACAGCCTATTACAATACAAATTTCAACATATAACGCTGTAAATAAACACACAGTTTGTTTTAAAAGTACTAAACGAGATACTAGAAATAAAATAACCTTGGGTTTTATGTATACAGAGTAAAATCTGCACAGACCGATCTGCACATTTTAAAACATGCCACATCATTTTTTTCAAAGCAGGTTACAGGTCACAGTTACAAGTCACATATCTAGGTGAAACTGCACAATGTACAGATATGCCTGAAAATTATTTTAGAAATGTAGCAATATAAGAAAAAATAAAAACAATCAAACTAATAATAACCCTGCATAAGAGGGAAAAAGACGACCTCTTTGAGACACCTATTAACTGTTTTTGAGACAAACATGACGATCTTAAATTTATCTCTTTTAAAACCATACGTTCTCCTGACCAATTAAGGATTTTCAGATGGAGTTAGACGAGAGAAAGATTTGGTCAGAGGGGAGGTGAAGAGAGAGACAGTGTTTAGACATGAGGTGAAGAGATGAAGACAGACACCTCACCCATCAATCTTTGAGAGACAGAGAGGGAGAGCGGGAGTGTGTGTGTGAGTGGCACTTCTATAAACCCAGTGATGAACGCCCAGACAAACCCTTACCGCTGCCTCACTGCTCCCTTCAGCTCCACTTATCCACAGAGCCGGCTGTGTGTGTGTGTCCGTCATTTAGAGGCGTCTCTTCAGTGTTTGTTTGAGACTGTCTGTCCCTCTGTCACTTAGGCCCTGTCTCTCCAACCCCTTGAAGGTGTGTGTGTGCCCGCACGAGTGCGTGAGCCCGTCTACCTGTCACTTACACCATGTCTATCTACACCGCAATGGTAGGTAAAGGTGTGTGCAGGAGTGTTCACGTGTGTATGTAACTTACACCCTGACTATTCGAGCACTTGAAGGCAGGTACGTGTGTGTGTGTGTGCGCGAGCGCTTGTGTTTCACTTAAGATGTGACTCTGAAGGTGTCTCTGTGGGTCTACCAGTGACAAGCCTGACAGCCATCTTATTTACACCTATCCCAATTTCTACAAGCTCCCAGCTGGACTAGTGTGCTCTGTGTGTATGTGAAAAGTGTGTGTGTGTGAGTGTGAGTGTGTGTGTGTGTGAGGGGGGGGGGACCAGATAGAAACTAGACAGAGTTGACAGCCATCTTATTTAACCCCTTGTCCCAGTATGTGTGAGTCTCGATACTTGACTTCCTATAACAGTAGGTCTCAGTACTACACTGTCTCACAGCACCATAGTATCTTTGTCAAAGTGCAAATCAGTCGCTAGTGCTCCCGGAGTTTCTTCTGGGATTTAAACATCTGCCGCCGCTTCTCTTCCTACCCAACTCTGTAATTCATTTCACTCTCACTCTAGAAAAAATTAAAAATGAAGAGGAAGGAGAGAGAATGTGAGCAAGGAACGACTGAAAGTCATTGTGATAAAACAAGCCACCAATGCGAAGCCATTTTACAGCAGGCCCATGGTTTTTAGTGATCAAATAAAAAAGATCTTTTAACTTTTATTTGGTTTCAGCAGCAGAGGGGAACATATGGGAACAATGGCTCTGCAGTGTAATTCTAGCCGGCTCTACTCAGCTACTGAGGCTATAGTTTTTTAGTGAATGGCAGAACACAAACAGAGCTGATTTTACATTATACAGTCAGAGTACTGGCATGGTGAAATGTTTGGACTTCATTTATGTTTTGCAGTTGTTTTCCTATCTTCACTCACAGACCTACAGTAAGTCCCCTACAACACTGTGGTGACGAGTGAGTCACACTTGGAGTTTTAGTCCATATTTAAGGTACACACGAGGTGGTACAAATAGTTTTGTTTGTTTTAGTTGGTCTTTTTGCTTTCTATTTCCATGAAAGAAGCTTGAGCTGTCCTACCCACAGTGCCCCAGGGTCAGACATGCTAGTGAAGGTAGGTACGAAGCTTCTCGTCCATCAGCTGTGAATGAGTGACCAACTAGACAAGAGTAAACCAGATAGCACTAATGGGTGCAAGAAGGCTGTAGTGTGTGTTGTAGTGGTGGTTGGGGCATAATTAAATCAACTGATCAAACAATTGATCTTGCGGCTAGCTGGCCACAACAACAGGTTTCAAGAAGTACAACATGGACATGTGGCTTGGAGGACTTGATAATTCTCAAGGTAAAGGTTTTTAAGTGTATGATCCAAAAAGGATCTGTGGAAAACCTACCCGTAAATGCACGCCTAAAACCATTTAGAAAAAAAAGATTGGCACTTAGGTATTTGCGATTAAATGTACTCAAGCGTCAAACATAAAAGTAATGGGTCAAACACAAGACTTTCACACAGCAGAAGGGGGTTTGTTTCCTGTGTGAAGCAAACAGTCAACCCTGATTGTTTTAAGGAAGTTTATTTTAACACCAACCTTGAATTTTTCCTGAACCTCAACAAGTAGTTTTGGTGCCTAAACGTAACCAAACTGCAACATTCATCTGAAATGTGACTTACTTATTTTTATTTTGAACGTCTAAGCAATAACTGCATATTTACTAACGCTAAATTGACTGCAGAATGAGAACGTGTTGAAAACTCGACACTACCATACCTTGGCGCACTACCACACTTTGCGGCAGGGTTTCGACACATGTAAAAACACATGTGGTAGTGTGTGTGTCTGTCAAACTCTGAGGACAGAAGCAGCGCACCTGTAGGCCTAAATGAGACCAAAACACGGTAGAGACTTTCCGCATTGTTTTTTTTACTACATGACAATTTTAGTAGAAACGTTAACCATGGCAGATTCTGAGATTTACTCGCCAAACAGAAAATGTCCCTGCATTTGGCGCTTTGTGGGTATTTCGGACCTTGAGTCTTTGTTAAACATTAAAGATTCATTTTAAGATGTGCATAAAGGAGTTAGGGCGTGCCTGATTTACAGTCAAATACAATACAGTACAAATTAAAAATAGCATGAGAGGTCTCAGACATTTCAATGATCTCCTTAAACATGAATATGATGCTGTATTTTCAAAGGGTACACAAATGCATGCCTACTTCCAAACTGGATTTCACATGGCCTAATTTGTGCATATGTACACACTGTACATGTCAGAGGCGTGTTAATGTGAGTATGTATGTGTGCCTGTTTGCTCTGTGTGTGTGTTCCCAGTGCTTTTATATGTCCCTCTAAGCAGTCTTGGCAGGCCAATCTAATCTGCCCAGGGAAAGGTCAGCCCCACTCTAACTGCCTTTCACTCACATTATACACAGACACCCCCCCCTTTTTTCTTCACCTCTCTCCCTTTACTCACCTTCTTTTCCCTCCTTTTTTGCGTCATCACTCTCTTTTACCTTTATTCTTTCACATTTCTCTACACAATCTTCTTACTATTTTCTCTCTACCCATCACTTGTTCTCTCTCTCTCTACTAGAGCCAGACATTCTCATCATTTTGCAGATATTACCGTCCGATATAAGCTACTTGCAGAATTATCTGCATCGGCGTTTATAACAGCCGATATGACTATTAAAAAAAGAGAAACAGAGAGTCAATTGTCACGTCAATTACATGACTTAAATATTAATAAAAATAGCCCTCAACACTTTTCCTCTTCCTAACCCTCCCGTTTTTCACTGCCCTCTCCTGGCTCACAGCATTGGGTTTTATGTTATGGTAACCTAGTGTTGGAGGCTACGCTGCTGACAGACGTGACTGTAGATTTATTTTTGAAACAGTTTGTCAGTTTAAGCAACCGGTCCTCTCAATTCCCTCTAATTTATTACTTCAAAATATTTTCTAACATCACCAACAGCAGATAACGCTGCCTGTTGCTAAATTAGCCACAAAGTTCAATCAGTGGAGGAGACTAACATTAATGAGCAATTACACTGTAGTGTCTCTAGTTACAGTAGGCGTGTCAGAAATGATTAAACCAGAGGGGACCTGTGAATAAACGTGAGCTGAACAAGTATCTAAAACATAGTTGCAGGTCCTCGTTGTAGACAGTCATGAAGTATTAGATTAATTTAAGGGCAGCGTTTCCTCTGGTATTTTTAATAGTTTGTTTCGCTGGCCCCCACAATACATACACTATTTAATGTTCATTAGTAGTAGTACTCTTTTAAAAATGTATGTATTTTAAAAATGTTTTCTGTAGTTTTATACATTTGACTCAAATCAAATCAAAACTTTAATATATTTTGTTGTACTTGTAGTATCCAATATTTATGTATTTGACTCATAACAGTTCAAAATAGCACTGTAGCAGCAGGACAGAGGGTCAGTGACCTTCTACGAGGAGAGCAGTGATTGGTGGTTATGTAGGGACTGAACCCTTCTACAGGATTTGACCTTTAACCCCTTGTTTTGTTACCTCAAAATAGTACTGTACCCTTCTATGGGTTTGACCTTTTACTTTGCAGACTCAAACCCTTCTATGGTACCTAACAGATACCTAAACATATCCTATATAAGCAATGTTTGATGTACAGAGAGACAGAGTGGCCATCGGGCTGGGTCATTCTCCAAGCGAAAGAGCTTGTAATTGATGCTGAACTCCTTGATTTAATAAACTTTTATGATCAAGAACAGTGTCAAGCGGGTTTCCTCTCAACACATCATCGCAGCATTATTGTTCCGACACCACATACTTTTGTTCAAAGTACTATTTCTAACAATACAAGTTTATTTTTAAACTGCATTATGTCATGGTATCTTGGTGAGGTCTCAACATAAAGGTTAGGGATAATATGTTATGTAAAAGAAAGAATATCGACCGATATATAGGCAATCGGATTTTAAAATCCTCAAATATCGAAATCGGTATCGGACTTAAAAATCTCATATTGGTCGGACTCTACTCTCTACTGTACCAGTCCTGATCAATTAACTGTTTCCTCTCTTTTCTACTAGACATGGCATAATCAATACACACCGACTCCTACAAGGCCACCCTGGTCTGTCATCATTATAACAACCTCCTAAATATCGTTGACTCTTAACATACTAACTACACATTTTATCCTCCAAGTTACATGCTTTATGACAGCAACGCAGGAGTCGCTCAATCTACATGCATGTAACCACAACAACCCTACAAGTGCAGATCTGAAGAGGCAGGAAGGATCAAAGGATTCATCAGGGTGACTGACAGCCCAGATCAACCAATCGACCGACCTCGGCGACATCCCGTCACCATAGCAATTATCGGGACTCTCTAAGAAGCAGAGAGGAGGGGTGTCAAAGGTCATCACACTATCTTTCTGCCATTTACAGGTCAGAGAGAAAGAGGGAAAGAGACGGGGAAAGGGACACAGACACAAAGACATGAGACGGCCATCTTTGAAGTCCATTTACAAAGCAGAGATTTCTCCTCGTCTCGATCCCTCAGGGCCATCTCAACCTGCAATAATCCCCCTCTTCTCCTCTGTCTCTCAGGACGGCCTGATATCAAACCTCAGGATCTGTCTGCCTGCCACCCTGTCTGCCTTCCCATCTGTCTGTGGCTATAAAGAGTAAGATTATGGATTACTTGTGTGAAGAGGTTTCTCACAGTCTGTTACTTTGACATTGATTGTCAAAATCAAGTTTTGGCTCATGGTCTGAATTGTCTAAGCCATGATTGACTGCAAAGACGCTGCTGTCTTAAACCTCACCTTTATCCTAATGAACCACTGTGTTCCTACATATCCAAGTCTTGAAGTCAGATTTGTAATCTTCTTTACTTATTGCCTGATTCGATAGTTCCTGATTTAAAACTACATTTGGCAAAGTTTTTGTGTTGCTGCTGATGATATTTGAGAAACTATTTTTGTTAAATGAAAATAATGGTTTTGCACAATAATATTGTTTCTGTAACTAAGCGATCAATAAAGTTTCTGTAACAACCAAAACTAGAGGTCTCATACTGGCACTAATATAAAAAAAAAGATTTTTAAAATTAGACATGGAATTTTGATTAAAACTTACTTGTAACAATCTAATTTTAAATGCAAACTTTTTAATGTATCCTGCAAAGTTATGAAGTAAACTCTAGTTGCTTTTCAGCTCATGAAGCAGAGATTGAGACAGACAGTCCAGTAGACAGATAAAGAAAGCTCTCTGTCTGTGCTGTGGGTCCTTTCAACCCGGCTAAGCCGGTGCGAGACACAGGGAAGTCTTCCCTCAAACAGAGTTGAATCATAAACTGATCTTGTTCGATTTTTTTCCTCCCTCTCCTCTCTCTCCTCCCCTTGAAAGGGCACTGTTCGCTCTGCCTTTCTTCCTTGCGCTCTCAAAGGGAGGGAAGGATGGTGGAACTTCACAGAGGGATAGGCCGTCTCTTCATCCCCCCCAGCTGAGGAGACCCCCTGCAACATCCCTATATCCGTCTAGCCGGCCGCTGGCTCTCGAGAGTCTGCAGGATTCAGCTGCGAGTGTTAGAACCACTGAGGAGCTTTCAAGACAAAAAATGTGTGCGTGTGTGTTTCAAGTCACTCTCCCCAGGCCATCTCAGTTATCTGTGTCACATCACAAGGTGCCCTATTAGAGCGCGGCAGAAGGGTCCTGTGTCTGCTCGTTTAACGACGTGAATAGAGAGATGGAAGGAGCATGGAGGAGATGGATGGACGGGTGGGGAAGCCACCTCCCACCCCACGAGCTGCTCTTTGGCGCGGTTTAGTTGAGATTTCAACATTGATCTGTCTTGTCTCTTCTCTCTCTGGCTTGCAAAGAGGGGGAGGCAGGTGAGGCTCAGCATGTGTGTGTTTAACAACGGATCGAACAGGGAGAGAAGGAGGCGAGCAGGAAGAGGGACAGATGAAAGCAGAGGCAGAGCCAAGAAAGTCTGAAAGAGCCTCTTAGAAATGACAACTACTCCTTACCTCCATCTGTGCACATCTTGATGGTTTGCCTTTGTTTTTCTTTCTCTCCACGTTTTACACACAAACACAATGGGAGGTCAATGTGGAGCGCAGTGCAGTTTAAATCATCAAACTGCATATATTCAAACATCGAGGGAAATAGATATAAAATGTATGTCTTGTTTAGAGACTTTTTAGGCTTAGAGGAAAGGGTCTTCTAGCAAAGACATAAGGACTAATCAAACAGTGTTATGCTTTTACTAAAAAAAACTGTGTTACTGAGTAACTTCAAGTATAGCAGCTACAACTGTTTCTGTTGCACTAGTTTGCTCATCACAAATGCATCATTGTATATAATGCTGAAACAATTAGTCAATAATTCTGAAAAATATATTTTAGACATTTATGAAGCAAACATGACAAACATTTGTTATTTTCAGCTTCTCAAATGTGAGGATTTGATGCTTTTTTCTGTTTTACAGATTATGTGGCTAAAAGTATGGGCACAGCCGTGCATACTATAGCACATTTTCTTCATTTTCTTCTGACCTTGTTTTGTGCATGGAGGCTTTGTTGTGTTGAAACACAATCAGTTTTGATAACTGATTAACAGTTTGTTACTTTTCAACCAAAAATGACACATATTCTTTTTTCTTTTGTCATATATGGGAAACAAATAGAATATCTTTGGGTTTTAACTTTTAGTCGGATTAAACAAGCAAATAGACTAAAATTGTGAATGGCATTTTTTTCATTTTTAAGAAGCTATTTATTAAATAAACAATCAATTAATCAAGAAAACATTTGCCAGATATAATGGATAATGGGAATTAGCTGCAGCCGTCTTTGAAGGTACAGTCATATATAGTGGAATTATAAACTGAAAATCCTTTGGACTGTTTGGACCTTTGGGCATTTTTTACTGTTTGCTGACATTTTATAGGCTAAACAATGCATTAAAAAGTAATCAATAATTAGTTGCAGCACTATTTGCATACTTTATAAAATCTAAATAACTCAGCTCCTTCTCTTCACAGTGGTTAAGAAACTGAATAATAGCATAAACATCCCTAATCTTGTTAATATGTTGCTTGATAAAATCAAAGTTTTAGAGTTATCTTGAATCTTAGTATGTCATTTTATGTCCAGTGAGTTAGCTCAGATCTCACATAAATTAAAGGAAGGAAGGAGTTAGCAGATACAGTAAATGACTGGATAATATTCAAATTACTTAAATATAGTTTATATTTGAAGGGTGTGCAAGCATTACATAAAATTGTTACCGTGTTATTTATCCAGATCCCCACGGGGCAATCTAAATAAGCTCTAAATAAGAAAATTTGAAAGTGAAATTAGTTAAAGATACTAACATTTCAAGTTTGAAGAATCTGAATAGAAAGACCAAAAAGAGACTGTGACAGAGAGCTAAGTGGGAGCATTGCAGGTGTGCAGCCATGCTCCCCAGTGACCAGCTCTCCCATCCAGTTCTATAATTGCATTTTTGGATGCACGCGCACGAACACACGCGCGCACACACACACACACACACACACACACACACACACACACACACACACACACACGAGTGGTGAGCAGCAGGTCAATTGCCCAGCTAAATGTGTTTTCCTTCCCTCTTGTTAAGAGGGTTGTGTTGGGCCGAGCCATGCTGAGCTGAGCTGGGCAGCCCCCGGACCAACCTACACTGCCACCAGACTACTGGCACCATTACAGCTCCCTGGTTACATTCAGTATCGGTCTCATATAACTAACACTGCTCACACTGGGCAGGAACAGAGGGAATGATGGATGAGCAGAGAAACAAAGGACACAGACAGGCAGAGAAAAAGGAAGGAGGTCTGGGCTGACCCCGTCTACATACAGCTAACTCTGCTGTGACTGGACACGACCATGGAGCCGGGACAGGTCAGTCAGTCATCTAACAAGCAGACGACACTGGACACCTACACCATCACACAGCGTACACACACACACACACGCAAGAGCTGAAAACGCTGCTGAAAAGAATGATCTGAAATGAAAACCAGCACAGTATTGTATGAGATGAGGTGTGTGTGTTCATACCTCTGAAGCCTCCCTCCAACAAAGCCGTCGCTCTGATCCTCTTCTGCCCCGCCCACTCATACTCCTCAAAGCCCCGCCCGTTCTCTCCATCCATGTCGGCTGAGTCATCATCGCCTAAGGCACCCTCACGCTGACACACACACACACACACACACACACACACACACACGTTAATCTAAGCAAAAACTTCACAGAGTACCAAAGATTTCAACTTACAAGTAAGTACATGATTTTACTGTTTTAAATAGTGGTGTAGAAGATAGGCCAGATCTCCATAGCACACTTTATCTGTACCATAGCATGACCAGCTGTCATAAGTACCTGTATTGTTGGTAAATGTCAATAGGACACAAAAAAGAAAGACCCTGCTTATTTGAATCATATGTTCAAAGTTTAAGGTTTGCAGAAACTGCACTAAATACCCAACTTGTGTTGCTTTTTGTAGCATATCTCTATAGCTACAACAGATGGTAGGCTCAGTTAGCTCATTAGTTTTGTTTGGCTGTCATTGTGCTTGTTGTTGCAACAATGAAGTCTATTCCAGACAAAAATGCGCTGTGGCTAACTTAACTTGCTGCAACTGGTTTAGAATTAAACTCCTCTAGAAATTTACACTGGGAGGTAATTTGCTATTTGGCCAAAGCTGTATTAATATTTTCATCTTTTACCATGAAGCTGCAGCAGGAAATGATAAGTTCCCAAAAAATGCCTCACTCTTGTTTTGATAAAATAACAAAGATGGAGATCCGAATTTTTCCTAGCAAATTGATCACTAATTAGAATAAGAAGAAAGTAGCTTTGGAGTCGTTTGCGAGCAGGACTTTAACATCTCGATACTGTACGGATCAGCGCAGGACTCCAGTACGTAATGAAAACACAGCTCACGTGGCATGGTACAGCAGTGGAACACCTAAAGCATGCTAGCGAAAAAGCAGTATTAGTGTCTCTATAGCTAGTGTAATGTACAGTAGTCAGTGAGGTGAGATAGAGGAGTAGTGATTGGTGGTGATGATTTGTTGTCTTTGGTCTACTCAAGGAAAAAATTTTACTGTTTAGCATCTAGAGAAAACGGCTGGCAACCAACTCTGACAGAAAAAAAAAATCATTGGTTTGACAACTGCAAAGAGGTGGTGACTGGGATTATAACTCTTACATATTTTCTGCTTCAAATATAGCAAGCAAAACCAAATTGGCCCTCATCTATGGATACTGTAACAGTTGTGCTCATACAGGAGCTGCATGCCAATGAATAAGATGCAACCATATCATATGGGATAAACTGCAGATATAAGCTTTCTACATGAAAAATATGTTCATGTCAGTACCAAAAGTGTGTTGATGAACATGTGAATACTTTAATTGTCAAGTCTTTCAGACAGTAATTCCCATATGATGTGAATGCTGTACCGCCACAGAAAGGAGCTTAGGAAGTGGTCAATATCTAGAAAACTACAGTTGCTATTGGTTGGTTTCTGCACTAATGTACAGAAGTTGTTGGACAGCATCTACAGGAAGAAAAGAGGTGACTGATCAGCATCTACAGAAAGAAAAGAGGTGACTGATCAGCATCTACAGGAAGAGAAGGGTTGATAGGCTATCCGACTGGAGGTAGACGGGCTTCGGGGCCAGGATTGTACTACCTGGATCAGGCATTGTTCCACATGTCTACTCATCTCCTCCTCGCTCCCAGCCAATGGGGCGCTGCACAGCGGACATACCTGGCCCCCTTCCTCAGGCTTCCTCCTCTTCATCTTCCCTATACGGGCTGGAAATGGCAGTCAAAAGAGAAAGACAGAGACACATTTTTAATGTCAATTCAGTTTGTAATGTTTATAATCATTTAGGTTTTCAAGAATGTTTCCTTTGCTGGTTGCAAGGCACAGGAGATACTGTAAAAAAAAAAGACCTGAGGGGAATTTATGTCTAATGTTAATGTAGCTCCCCAAAAGGCCTGCCCTCGGTTATCAAATCTTGCAAGGGAGCATTTGGAGAATAAGCTGAGCTGGCTAAACTTGGGCTCTTCTGAAATGTGTGAAGAAAGAAATGACAAGAGCCAGACGGGACCATCTCAATCTCCTTCCTACACTCTACATCCATGCAATTCCTCTCTCTCTGTTTTCTCCTTCCTTTCCTGGCCTGCTCCCCTGTCACAGCCGCCCCCCCCCCCCCAACCCCAACACACACACATTTAATTAGAAATTTAACAGAGCAGAACAGCCGTCATTGCGCCCCGAGTCTCTGTCGTTTTTTCTTAACTGCAAATGGCGCGTGGGGACATTAATTTTTAGCTGGCTGGGAAAGCAGAGGAGGCCAAGAGGGACCATGGCGAGGGAGAGGAGGGGGAGGACATAAGGGTATACGCCATAACTACAGGGGAAGATGCAGGGAGTGAGGATGGGAGAGCTAAAGAGAGAAACTGCCTCCTCCTCCTCCTCCTCGCCAATTCTCCCCTGACGCTAATCGAGGGGAGCATGGTTAAATAGGGAAAGGAAAGGGCTACTAATTAGGTCCGGCAGGGATCTCTGCCCCCCCTCAGCCATTATACTCCACATGAGAATGATTCCTGGTTCCACATGAGAGCAGAAAGAAAGTAATGGAGGGCGAAGTTTAAACTAAGTCTTCATTGGTTCTTGTCATGGGTTCCAACTTAAAAAGACTGAATTATCAGTCTGTTGGCTCTTGCGATAGGCATAACAACCAATGTGATAAGAGTCAACTGATACTAACATATTGCTGATAATAGCAGCTCCTGATTTACACTGCTTTAATATCCCTTAATCAAAAAGTATTTTCGGCAAACGTTTACTGGACTGAAGAAAAGTAGGCAATTTTAAAGCAGCAGGTTTATTTAGTAGCATGGCAAAAGAAACAGCACTGACATTTGTATAACATTTAAAACTGTGACAGCGTTTCTGATCTCTGTTCAACATTAAAGATCATGTTCAGAAATTCAGTACCCAGGCTTCTCAAACTAAGCTAAAGTGTACTTCTTGTCTTGCAACCAATTTTAGGTCCAACCCTGAAGATTAAAGCAGCCAGATAACATTATTTTGTTTAGTGGAAAATGGAGGAATGTTGCCTTTGTCACCATGTGTGGATTCAGTGGAGGCTGGTTAATACAAGGTAACATGAATATATGGCCTTTTAAGAAATTAGCATTAGCATTATTTGATAGGACAATGGGCCTTTTTCACAGCAGACATTTTGACACGTCATAGCAGGAAAAGCACAGGTGTTAGCAATAATATACGATGGCTGCATTCTATCCAAGTGTCTCTCTTTCTTCATGCAAACAAAGATGGTAGCCGGAAATGGCAAACATTTGTGTTCAATGGGAACCAAAATTGAAGTTTTTACTATAGTTATATTGGTATATGTTGCTTGTGTTTTACAAAAAGAACAAGGAGGTATGTAATGTCTGGCCGCCTGAATTAGAAAATACAGATGCAACAAGAAAACTGGTTTAAAAAAGTTTTTGCTTGAGCAACTTTGAGGATTGTGAAAATGGCACAGTGAAAAACAACAGCAGTATGTTCACCAACCATCTGGGTGTCTGAAAGATTGACTTGTAAATATTTTTAGGAAAAACAGATGCTTAGCTCTGTGACTGTAATGGCAATACCTATAAAAAGTACAAACTGGGGCAACGAAGAGCTAAGATAAGCTTAGCCCATGGGATAAGTTACTATCATACACTGCTCTTCTTCAGAATAATTAACCAAAAAACTTCTGTGGGAGCCACAGGTGTCCCTCACATAACATCATCAAGGACGAACAAAAATCAGCATCACCTGACACCCCAGCATATACACAGGAGTGAAATATGTTCCATTTAATCAAAACAAGCAACACCTTTCAGAAGTGTCTAAACATCAGGTTAATAAAATACCATTATAGTCAAATTGTATGACACAACAGTTTTAGCTCCTGCGCCTTGACACCGGTGGTATTATGTGTCATTTCTTGCCATCGTTTTTCATTTCATATTTAACTTTTGGAAATATAAGTTACTGATGCATAAATGCCAGCTTTATATAATAAAATATATCTTACACTTAATTTTTTCCCCCACCATTTTATTTCTACCTGATCTATAAGTGGTGATGCATTTTTTTATTACCCCATGTTGTACAGTGATAAATAAATGAACCTTGAACCCTTTGACGTTATAACTTTGATTCTATTCTACAGTAAAACCACATATAAATTAAATGAATTTGTCAGAGCCATATAATGTATATGACTAAGCAATATTAAGTTTCACTGAAGTGATCAAACGTTGTGTGTGTATCGTTACATACCATTCAATCTTGTCTGCCTGTTTGCCCGAACTCGTAAAAATGTCTGCAAGAAGAAGGGAAAAAAAGAGGAAGGAAATATACATTAGATAATAAAGAAACACTAAGATATGTTTACAAGTACAAATATAACTTCTAAGAACGAGATTGATTTGGATGCTGAAGGCTTGTCTGCTGGGATTAGGGCACTATAAACAAACCTACTTCTCTATTGTTTTCCACCTCCTCCATAACTGTGAGCTCATTCTACCGCCGCTAAAACTCACTGCTGCAAACTACCCTACTGTGTTTCCAGATACTGTACATCACTGCAAACTAAAGGTTGTGTCTTTTATTTAATACGGATGGAAAAGGATTGAAAGTGGCGCCCGTAAAGGTAGAAGCTGATCATGTTCGACGCCATGTTGGTTTGTTTTGATCATGTGACGCGCTGGAGACGGAAGTGGGGAAACGTCACATGTTGTTCCGGATCTCGACCGCTAGGGGGAAGCAACGGGTTTCATTAAACGGTCTCCTTTTTAATGACTGGGTTTAGTGTTTGATATACTATTGCACTGCTACTTTAACTACGACTCTTTATATAAGCTAAAAAAAAAAAAAATTATAATATTTTACTCAATATTGTCAAAGATGTTACCAAGCTGACAAATTGGTGTTTATGAACATTTGCTTTAAATGTAGTTTCTTGGTTTCTTGTGGTTTCTTCAGAAGTGCAAGAAGTAGGTATTCAGATGCTTCAGCTAAGTAAAAGTACCAATACAAATATGTAAAATTACTCAATTACAAGTAAAAGCCCTGTATTCAATATCCTACTTAAGTAAAAGTAGGCCTGCCAAGGTATTATCTTAGTTACTTTCCACCTCTTGCAACTGTATTGTACAATTGCATTACAATTACTCATTTAGCTGACGCTTTAATCCAAAGTCTATACACATAACATGACATATATCTGCCAGATGTTGTACAGCCGCTGGAGCAACTAGAGAAGTGTCTTGCTCAGGGACACGACGGTGGATGTGTCACAGTGGGAATTAAACCCCGGTCTCTCGGACCAACGCATTTGTCTTATCCACTGCACCATCAGAACCCAATTATTAATTTATCTAAGTGAATGTTGAGCATTTGGGCTCTTAGGTGGTTCAGGATACCTATGGTAAATTCCCTGTATCATAGTAGTCTTATAACTAAAACTACAGCAGTGAGAAATATATTAAGTTGGGTCAGATTTCTTTGTCCTCTTCACTTCTGCCTCTTGCGGAAAATTGCATCCTGGGTATTCTGGGATTCAAACCCAGAGAGGCCCGTAGGCCTATGTCTTTAGCTATATGCTGACTAAAGCATTCCCAGTCACAGTAATGGATGCCCTCTCTTTGACACGGCAACAGTGAGAAGGCAGCGGTCAGTCCTCTCACCGTTGGCCCATCGTCCATCAGTGAGAGCCGACAAGCAGTCAGACCTTCTCCTTCTGTCTTAGCCCTCCATCCGTCTCCTCACTCCTTCCCTCTGTCCCCTCCCCTCCCTGCTGTCACTTGAGTTATAGGCCCACTTGCCTCACATCGCCACTACTACTGTATCATTATGACACACTCACTGAATGGCTGCGGGTAGGTCAGGTTTTTAGAGGAAGGGAAGAGGTAGAGAGGAAAAGAGCACTGAGACGGACTGACAGCCAGAGAGAAGGTGGCGAATTCTGCCATTATGCTTCATTTTCAGGGTGTTAAAAAGAGTCACCATTGACTTAATCATTTGTATAATATAAGGTGATTTCAGCAGTTTCACTTAATGAGAAAATCTACTTTATCGCTATAAGGTCTTTATGAGATGTGTCATCCTGAACGTATGGATGTAACGTCTGTGTGGACTTAATAGTTCTTATTTTATGGTGTAAGGGGGGAAACCCACTTAACCTAGAGATACATCATGGCCAGAAGAATTACCCGAACAAACTTTGATGAATTTAAGAGATAAAAGCAGTCCGGGTGGCTTTAAAGATATCTGAAATTTAAGGAGATTGGCCTGTTGGTCAACTTAACTGCTGAGCGGACAAAAAAAAACCACAATCCACCATAACTCTCTGCCATACTGTTACACATCTGTCATAACTTGTGAAATTCTCAATTTGATTTAATACATTATAGAAGTCTTGTGATTTGCTACAGTATACAGCAAAAAAAAGCCTTGCATTTCCATTTTAAACCTATTTTGACATTAAACTAAATGAACGTATAAGATTAGAGGAAAGAATCACAGCAAGTTTTGATTGGCAGCAAAATAAAATAGAACAGAAGAAGAGCTTTACAATTTTAATATCATCTCAACTTAAAACATTAAACACCATGTTCCACAGAATCCCATATTGAACAATAAAATGCAGCTCCTCCTATAAATGTATAGTTACCTTGCAACGATGCATGTTGTGTGTGTTACGAAATTTCCCATATTAGTTGATGATTTGAAATGTCAGACCAAATTAAAAAATCTGACCAAGTGGAATCTCAGAGTAGGTAGGGTGTATAATTTAATTAGATCTGTGCTTTAGGTCCTATGACTAACATAATAGCTTAAGATTGCCTAACTGAACAGAATATAGCATTTGAAGTGGGAAAGGAGTGTTTAGAGTTACCATTACACCATGGAAACCCTGATTGGCTGGCAGGTGATAATACCTGACGAGGTCTACATTCCTGAACTGTAATAGATGATTGCGGTTCTTTTGGTCATTACTGAACATATAAGTCATCGGTTATTATCCCTTATTAGTAATACACAGTGTGTCAAAATATGGAGCTGCTGTGGACACACAGGATACATTTTATTATAACTGAAAAGAAAAACAAAAGAAGGAAAATGATAGAGAAAGTGAGCTGGATACTTTTCTAGAGAAGTGACCTAAGGCACAAACGTGAAAGGCGCAACCTTTCTGTGTGTGTGTGTGTGTGTGTGTGTGTGTCCCAGAATGTGACCTGGTATCTGTCGGAGTGGTGGATGTCTTCAGAGGACAGGGGCGAGACCACGGGAGACTCTCCCTCACGCTTGATGTGCACCGACAACAGCAGTGACTAGAGAGAGAGAGAGAGAGAGAGAGAGAGAGAAATAAAATGTCTATATGCAGATCTTGATGTATTATCACCTTTGGAGCAATGATTACAGCAGAACCTGTCCTCGCTTGACAGTTACGGATGGGAATAATCAATAAACATGGACATGGCAAGAGTAATGCTGTTTCAAAAAATAAATTTATATTTTAGGAATACAGATACAATTTCACTATTGGAGAGATAACCCTCCTGCAAGCCACCTCCTACACTTTAGCTTGACAATAAGATAATTTGAATAATTGTCCATAAGGTCTTTACAAAGTCAATGGAACAACTAGAAAAGGCTACATTTATTTCTGAAGAAAACATCCAGGTGCTGGCTTCTGAAAGTTTAAAATTGTAATGAAAATACAAATAATGAAAGACATAAAATGAAAGGAAGTGCTAAGTTTCAGTTGAAATGTAGGTGCTGAATGGGAGTTGAAGATTCAACTGTAGTTCAAGCACTGAAAGGAGCTGAAATGTCGGTCGAAATAAAAGAAATATAGTGGCAGCTCAAGTAAAGAAACTAAAAGACAATGTCAGTTAAAGTGTTGACTAAAGTGTAAGTGTAATGGAAAGCAGTTGTTGTGAGTTGTTTATGAACACTGGAAGTTGTGGCAGTTAGAAGAACGGAAGCAGTCTTGTTGTTTAACGGTGAAGATCTGAGACCTGAATGGGTTTGAAGTGTAATCTGTGTGAGTGCTGAAAGGAGAGGTGGCAGCTGAAGAGAAAGAGATGAATGCAGTCAAAATGTAAGCTAAAGTCTACGTGGTGAAAGCAGTTGTACTGGCATTTGTACAGTAAGAAATGAAAGGAGTTGAAGAGTAAAGGATGAAAACTTTTGAAATGTCAGTCAATATGTAAGTGCACAATTCAAAGCAAAATTTACCATGACTGTAGTAGACTAAAATATTGAGGAAAAAATGCAACAAAATGAAAGTAACATATTTTTTGACATTGTGTGTATTAAATGGATATATTTCAAAAAGGGAAATCTAACATTTATTTCTGTACTGCAACAGATCTCTTACACAGAAAAATTCACCCTTGGAGAATTTCAAGTGTTATTGCCACAGATGCCGAGAGCGACACATCATTCATGATGACTGTAACCTGCCTGACTTTGTCTATAAAGTCCCTTCCACTGATTAGAGTTAATGTTTATGGGACGTTAAGAGGAGTTAGGGAAGAATGAGTGATTGAAAAGAGAGGAAGGAGGGAGAAGAGGAGGAGGAAGGGTAAATATCTGAAAAGGAGGAGCCTACCTGTCTGATATTACGGAACAATGCCTGTCCATAAATCTGTCTCACAACATTTTGCACTCTCTCTCTCTCTCTCTCATGGAAACACACATATAAAACATTATCCTCTTCTAAGCCACTCTATGACAAACACAATCCAGGGAATTCCTCAAGTGAACAAGAAGCAAGCAGATAATGGTGTGAAAGAAAGAGAACAGGGGAAGACAGAAGAGGGGAAGAAGATCACTTATTATTTTTTTTTTTACAAGGCTTAGTTGTCCTGGCAGAGCTCTAGCTGTGTGTGTGTGTGTGTGTGTGTGTGTGCTTATATTTTCATGTGTGCCTGTGCTGCTGCTGGTTTTTTACAAGGTAGCTATGAAATATTTGTATTTACAGTCGTCTCCTATTAATCAAGTGGAAAGGGGCAGAGCAGAGGCTTAAGTGCTCGACAGCAGTAATCTAATAATAATATGTGAGAAATGACCAACCTCCAGTGCTGCCACAGTAAATTGGACATTATGCATGATGCTTTTATTCCTCCGTGTGAGTGTGTGTGTGGCCATTTTTTCTCTTTTATCCAGGTTTAAAAAGGTCAGGAATCATTTACCTGGGGGCGTTCTGGGAATATGCTTAAGTTTTATCATTAGAATATGACATTTAATCGTATTCTACGAAGAGATTATGAATAAAGATCTTCCATTGAAATTGTGGTCGTTTAAACCAACCAATTAAATCAATATGCAAAAAAAATCAGCTGCAAAAAGGTTGCATTTAAGGCCACATTCAGGTGAGTTACTATATTTACACTTCATTGTGCAGGAGGTTTGACTCTAAATTTGACTGTGAAGATTGAAATAAAGTGTTTGTACTGTAACAAAGTGTTTAAATCTGTGTTTTGCATTTGTAAATCAATAATTAACAAAGAGACGCAAAGAGAAAAGGACAATGTCTAAATCCTTCCAGCAGATATACTTTGTATTCAGTCTAACCCAATCACCTCAGCTTGTACAGAAAGTGGGCCTTACACCCAGTAAGGAGGTGCGTTGGGGTTAATCTCCGGTCTAACAGGGGTAGGTTGTGCATACCAGGGAGGAGATGACAACAGGCCCATGTACTTCAGACTGGCCTTCTCCATTCTCCATGGCCTGCGGCTGAATACTAAACAACAGTGGTGAGATGCGCAGTCACGGCCCAAGAAGAAGGCCGGCACTCTACCCTGAGCTTTCGGCCTCTCTCAAGTACAAGCCCACCCATGGTGCTGTCAATGCTGATCTAAGCCTGGGTCAGCACCCGAAGGGATGTGTGGGAATGAAAATGGACGCTCTGAATTATTTTAGAGCTCTTATGTTACATTCAAGTGCATGTTGGATGTACTTTTTCTGTGGTAGGGCATCTGACTTTCACATGGTCTTTAGCTAGAACTGAAAACAAACATAGAAATGATGAAGAGCTCGATAGCTACAGGGGTATTTCAGGAAACATTGACACGGGACATAAAGAGTTTTCAGCCATGTTGAATGAAGTCGCTACATTATACAGTGTACTCAGTATAATGGCTAGCTGTAGGTAAAGTAAAGTTTTTTAGTGTTTTTTTTAAATTTAGCCCAGAATCACATTTGCATCAGAGGGTTTTACACTCATGTGACACCATCTATACTTATGAATAGTTTGGTCTTTTCTGACTTTTTCCTGGATTTTTTAAACTCCATTAAATGAAATGTGAGTTGGATTTTACCTTTAGATCATGTTAAGGATATAGAAAGGTTGTATTATCTTTTAAAAACACTCAGTGTCAGTCTGATCTGTGATGTGTTCAGTTGAGTTAGTATACGCACGCACTATAAGGAAAGCCTACTTGATGGAATCATGAATCTGTCTTTCTATAATTTGACGTTATCTGTCTTTTTCTTCTCTTTTTTTCTTCCTTTTCTGTCTGTCTGCATCTCGGTAACTCTAATTGGAACAATCACAGTACAGTGCCTCTTGGCTCTGCTGCCTGCTGGACCACAGGAGACTGGTACTTTTGTGAGTGTGTGTGTGTGTTAGATATAAGACAGAGGACTACAGTACAGCTGATTTCCCCTTAGTGCAGCAGAGAGGAACAGAGGCATCAGAGTAACAGCTTTGAGTTGGACAGTAAAGGACTACAAAAGTATCACAGTGTTTTTAAATCTAACTAGGTTTACTATGCACACATCTAATGTTGTATTCAATCATTTAAACTTTCTGACTATGCTCTATATCAAAATGCATAAACTGGCATAGCTGTAAAACTATGGTAATGATCATTGTATTTTTGGCATTTTTTGCCCTTCACATAGTATAAAAGAGGTCAAACTTAGATTCCAAATATGGGTGAAAATAATAAGAATTGTAAGACCCTTGATTTCAGTCTGAATGAAATCGTAATAATCCAAATAGATCATACATCTTCATCATATTACATGTTAAGAAATTGACAGTTATCTCACCTTGGGGGTTCCTGGAGTGGCTGCTCCATCCTTGGGTGAGGGGTTCTTACTGCAGTAGAGAAAGAAGACACCATTTAGTGAGTTTTTAATGTTACGTAGTGCAGCATTGATTCTGGTCTTATGTGTCTGTCTGCTTGTTTTCATGCCTCTAAAGTGTACTGACATGTATTTATGTCATTCACTTTTAAGATATTATGTATTTTTGGAAGCTGTATTTGGTAACACCAGAAACTATCGGGATATTATGGGTTATACCAATATACTAGATTTTATTTAGTAACTTGTTTACAAATTTATTCACTTTCATCCATTGGTCTTTAGATTGGAGATGAACAATGGAAAGACATATTAAATAGCCTCTACTAGACCATTAACACACGGAGTTCGCGTTACTTTATTTCCGATCTCTTTAAATGACATTTTCACCGTCTGATTCTTTTAATTTTCTCCCCCTCCGCATTCTCAATTGATCCATTGTTCCTTCCTGTCTTTTTTGTGGTCTTCTCCTCCTTGTCTCTCTCCCTATCTTTCTCCCCATCATTCTGCCTTCTACTTTGCTATCTCTCTCTCTCTGACTTTCACCCAAACACAGAGATAAATTTCTCCTAGCTTCTCCAAGTGATGCGACAGGCTTGACATTGACAAAGCAAGACAGGGTTGTCATGTTTGCTTTGAGACCGTGTTAGCACTCCAGACCCCGTCGGACACACAAACACACACACATACACACACACACACACACAGACTGACAGACAGACAGACAGACAGACAGACAGACAGTGGCAAACCATGGAAAGGAATGTGCCTGAAACTGAATTGAGCGTGACTTTGAATCTGACAGCATGCCTTGGTAGACAAGGGATTTCCTTTTTCAATGGATGGATGGGTGGATAATAAGAATAAGAAGCTTTTTTTATATGTCACTTATCTGATTGTAGAATTTACAAAGTGGTGTACAAGAAGGCAAAGGAGCAGGATAAGGAAAATATAAGACAGAAATATAATGCATAAATGCACAGATTTATTCCTTACACACATTCTGTGATGTGAAGCGTAGTTCATGTCTTTACACAACACTTGTGTCAATTTCTGGGGTGCAAACCATCGGTATAAACCTCGACTAAAAGCTAAGTCTGTGTATTTAAATAGGCACTCCACTAATTTTACAAAGTACTACCTGTGAGAACAAGAATAGGTTCACCATTTCAAGTCTTAAAACAATGGCGAGGTGCCCATATGAACATTAAAACATATCCTGCTATGTGCCGTTAAGAGATCCCCATCGTAGATTGCTTCCAATAAAAGTGATGGGGGACAAAATCCAAAGCTTTCTGTGGCCAATATCAGCAGTCTGATTTAGACACTGCTTTAAGACAGACTTGAAACACTGTGAACCTGTGAACCTGTCCTCTGTGGCTCTGGACATGTTTGTTAAGCCTGAGAAAAATGTGTTGTTGAACAACATATTTATAGTAAAAAGCATACGTTACAAACTGAAGATGTGAAGTTGTGAAAGACACCAATGTTTATCAGGCAGGGAGGGTCTAATGAAAACATACTGGTCATCATGGGAAATGTAGGATCCAGTGTTTTTTGAGCTTGGTCTATACTGGGTATAAAGAAACCCTCTATATTAGCCTTTCAACTTTGTAAAAGTGCAGTATTACATTTCTGGAGTACCTCATTAAACGCCTAGTGAAAGTTTTGCTTCTGTAATATGACATATTTCTGAAATTTAATTTATTGGTGTTGATGTTGATTTTGTTAGATTGCTTGTTCTGAGACAAAAAGCTGCAGTAGATGGTTAGCCTCCAACTACATTGTTAGCTGGGCAGGCGGGGGACAATGGAGAAATTAATGAATTACACCACAACCATTCTGTTTTGGAAATGTAGTCATTTTTTGCCAACTAAAAAACAAACAAACAGCTCCTACACTCATATTGCTCTATAGCAGCTAACTGAGTCAGGAGTCAAGAGCTGCTTTAAATGGTGGGAGTGTTAGCTAGCCACCCCACATCACATGTGATTAGATACATTAATGTCCCCGAGTTCCCGGTGAGTCATCAAAAATATTGTGAATGTTTTACAGAAGAAGAGCAGGAATTTGATACATGAATACTTAAACATGATGCTGTTTTTTTGACATACACCAAGAGATAAACGAACAATTTACATTTAATTTGTCCTCATCTGATGCATGATGTCAGGCTATCAAGTATGCACGTGTATCAGTGTGCAGTCTGTGTATATATGCATTAAATGTCTTTGTGTGGTGAACATGTCTGTGAAAAGGCGTCACTACTGTGGATGTGTGTTTGCCTCTGTATATTGTCTGTGTGTATGTGCATGGTGTGTGTGTGTGTGTGTGTATTTGTGTGCATGTCTTGTGCTCGTGAAAGCTGAACAGCGGGCCTCACCTCCACCAACAAAGAGAATAAACATGGGTGACACAGTCAAGCTGCTGTGTAATGCAGGGGAGTCTGCCAACCCCCCACCCACCACCTCTCTTTTCCCTTTTCTATCTGTGTCTCTGTCATTTCTCTCTCCTGCTCCTTCTCTCTTTTATTCATTACCTGGAACCTCTGCAGAGGCATCAACAATAACAGCCACCTCTGCCTGCTTGTTGACAGTGTCAAACAGCGACAAGAGAAAGAGGGAGAGGGAGAGAGAGGAAGAAAGCGCAAGAGAGGACAGCAGTTGCATGCCTGCTGTGATGGGAGAAAATTGCCACAATGACAGAGGGGGTGATAGAGTGATGAAAGGGAGTGAAAAAAGGGGGGAAAAGAAAGAGATAGAAGGAGATGAAATGTGAGGTGAGAGACAGAGATGTGGTGAGGGAGGAAGAGCGGGCCACATAAAGAGGGAGATCGAGCGAGGGAAAGATGAAAGAAGACAGAAAACGAGAGAAAGAAACAGAGGGAGTGATGGGAGAGTTGGTGCGCCGCCGCCTCTTCTCGCAGCTTCACACGTCTGTTTGCCCGGTTCTATGAATTTTTGATGCCAAGGGTTACGGGGCTAGAAATTCCAGCTGCCTGCCATGTCAAAGCAAGGAGAGGAGTGTGGAAATGAGCAGCACAGCACAGCACAGCAAAGCGAAACAAACACACAGTCCGACAGTAGGAAAAGGAAAGGGAGGAAGGAATGAAAGACAGGAGACAAAGCAATTTAGAATGTGTTGTGGTAATGAGGCATGTGTGCAAACAAGGGGAGACCAGCGAGGGGGCATGTGGGTGATGCTGTCTTATAACACATTGTCCCACCACATCGTTCAATATTTCTCTGAACTTGCTAAACCTAAAGGAGGGGCAAGAACCTGTGAGATCATAAACAGTGTTCTTGCCCCTATACTGCCCCTATAAATGCAGTATAGCTACAGGGGATCAGAGATAATTTGATGAAATAATGTATTTATATTTAGACCATGATTTTTGTTGACTGTGGTCTGTCTAAAATCTTGCTTATATCATTTAATCATGTTCCACCTTCTGCTTGTGTAAACCCTACTGAGTAAAATGACCCTCGTGTAAAATCGTGTCCATTTCAGTCAGAAAACTAACGCAGGGGCCTTTTGAGAGATTTGCAATTAATGCTATTAATGTTGAGCAGTCAGTGCAGTGTTAATTGTTTTATGAAGTTGTATGAAGAAAAGGACTGTGGAGCAGTTGACACCGTGTTTGTTTTGACACCTGAGCACATCTGGTCAATCACTGTTGAAAGCAGGCGTAGAATGCAGAATCCTAATTGACCTGACTGTCTGGATCCAGAGCTCCACAACTCCAGTGGAGTGATGATATACTAATCTGCACTACTTTGCATTGCTTACATTACTTTGTCATTAAAATGAGAAATCAACATAAGTGTCATTTGAAATAAGTATTTTTTTAATTCCAGAAAATAACTTGAATAAGATGAAGGAGCTTTGTGATTTCCCTTTAATTACTTACCATTGTCTGATGCTGTGGTCTGTAGATCCAGTTATACACTGCTGTTATAAAATTCCTTAATCTAAACATGTCAAAAATTGATAAATGAATAAACCATATACATTTTTTTAATTACCACAACCACAAAAAAAAAAACAAATTTAAAAATCAATCAAGGGAATGTAACTCCAAAAGAGTGGGTTTATCAGGAATTTGGAAGCAAGTCCACTCAGGAAAACTGCCCCACCCTCCCCAAACCTGTTAAATCTGCATCAATCCTACACATGTACAGACACACTGAGTTTGACTGACATCTAGCAGGGGCCTCTGCCCCTCCCACCACTGCTCTCTACTAAAGGAGGACAGAGAGAGAGAGAGAGAGAGAGAGATAAATGTCTTTTTTTCAGTGGGAGTTGGGTGGAATAGATGGAGGAATGGAGGGATGGTGCTAACCTCAAGATACTGATTGCTTTTTGCCTTTTTGTGTCGTCTGCTGGAGATGTGGGGGCTCGCTCTCATGGAGGCAAATTGATTACGGAGGAGGAAGAGGAGGAGGAGGAAGAGGGGTATGACGAGGAGGGGGTGATGGGGTATGTAGATTACTTTGCCCCCACGGGCTACCTGACGTGTACAGGGCATGATAGATTTCCATTTGCTCAGCACTGTGTGTGCATGTGATTTCCATGTCCTTACATGAGAAGCTGTGGCCCATGAACAGGCGACAGAGCTGACAGCCACAAGAGAGGACAGGTTGGCAGTTGCAATCGAACACACGCACACACATGCAGCGAAGACAGACCAGAAAAGAGAAGAGAAACGGAAAACAAATACTTCACATGGAAGAACAGATATCTAGGGAAGAGACCAGGCAAATATGGGATACACACATTTTTCACACCAACATACTTAAACACACACACGCACACACACACTTTCGTTTCCGTACCCGCAGCCCTTTCATTCAGCAAGCGCTGGTCGTCATTAAAGGCAGATTTACTACAAATTGGACCAAATACCCACTGTCACTTTCAATGATGGCTGCTACCATGCAGAGAGCCAGGGAGAGGGGAAGACAGTGTGTGTGTGTGTGTGTGTGTGTGTGTGTGTGGGAGTGTGCGTGTGTGATGAGGTGGGTTTTATGATATGACAAACACACACACTTTCAGCTTTTATTTTATCCCATGTTTCCATTTCCTCTGCCTGTATGCAAAGTCACGCCGACACATTTTGAGCGTTTGAGTGTGTAGCAGGAACATTCTGTCAAAATATCTTGAATTGTATTCCTTGCACCCTTCTTTTCTCCCTCCTCTCTTATTCTCTTTATTTTCTTGTGGTGTGTGTATGCGTAGGATGAGTTAATGGCGAGTAGCTGAATCAGCCAGCCACCAGCTAGCCACCATCGCGTCTCACCCCGGGGATGATGCTATTTCCTTAAATAACCGTGTGTGTGAGAGGCCGCCGTGCATATGAGGGTTTTGAGCTTCCCCAGGCTCACACAGTATCTCAGACCCACAGAGGGAAGTGTAGGCTACTAACCTTTATTTTGTATTGAAACACACACACAAATAAAGAAATGACAGGACTGGGTTAGAAGAAGACAAACAGAAGACAGAGTTAAAAGAGAGTTGGGGAAGAAACATGGAAGAAGCTGTGAAGAGGAGACAGAGAGAAGAAGGAGGACCAGAGGACATGAAGGCATGGGATGAGGAAAAGAAAAGACAGGAAGGAGGATTGAAGAAGAAAGAGAAGGATGGGGAAATAAGGTGGCAGAAGAGGAGAGGAGGAATGTGGAGGACTGGTCCAGTATGTACAGGAACAAATGGGAGGAGGGGTATTGGAGGTGTAAACGGGGGTAAATGAAGTATGACTTCCACGTGGGGTGACACTATCTGTTGCCCTGTCCCTCTGGGTTAATGGGGACTATCATAAAGCTGGGCCGCTTAGGTGGACATCAGGTCATACACAAACACAGCCTCACACAGGCCACACAGTCACAGTATGTACACACATACACACACACACACACACACACACACACAGCCAGATGTGTGGTCAAGGTGAAATATGGATCCTAATGGTTGCGTCCCATCGTTAAAAGGGCTTGGAGTTGATTTATCCACCGTAAAACAGCTCATGCAACTGCCACAAGGAGAAGAAGGAGGTGGCAGTGAACTTGAGGTCACAGGTTTGTATCGTAATCCCTGTAGGAAACACTTAGTATTACGTTGACGGCATGCCTCTGCATTCTATGCAGATTTATGGCACCAAAACCTCTGCACAGAAAGAATAGCTGTCAGTGAACCTGACATAAAAGCTGAGTTAAAGCTCTATGCCTAAAACAACACGTCCCCATACCTAAACGACAAAAGAGGTTCATTGTCAATTGTCCCAAAACAACATACATGACTGTTTTCCAAAACGACCTATGTCCTTGGGAAAGTATAACATGTACAAACTTTGGCAAGTACCAGTCCAGCAACAGGCATAACGGACCCTCGGACCCATTACTAAGTCACGTGTTACATGAAATATGGGTCATAATAAGGTGCTGCACAATCAACCTATACAGCCGTTTTTTCTGGTAAGCAGGTCTGTAAACTATTCATCTTTATGACCAGGTAAAAGTGTTTGTCTTAAAAATCTTGTTTACACTTCCTGCTACATAAAGGTAAGTTCCAGATAATGTCACTTGGGTCAAGCAAACTAATGATGACATATATGAAATAAATTTTGCAGCCTTTTTTGACATTCAGGCTTGGGAAATTTGCGGTTTTACAGTTAGAAGAGATATGATACCAGTTTGATTTATTTGCGTACATGCTAGATATGCAGCTAAGATATGCAGAGACCTGTTTAGCTTAGCTGACCAGAAAGATGAAAAACAGGGGAAAAGAGAGGTAGCTTCTTTCAAAAAGTACAAACAAAAGCCTTAAAAGTCACGACAGAACTCCTACGTACATGTTTTATCTGGTTAGACAGACATTCAAGAGTCAGCTGGGTTATGTTCAGAGTTACGTTAGTTATTTAAGTGAGGACCTGCTGTGTGCTGCCATACTGCGATGTATAAGACTTAAAGACTATTTTTGGACTATTTAGCACTAATGTCATACACCACTTTCAACCTGTGCAGCTCTTAGCCACAAGCACTACCACTTACATGTAGCTAATCGTAAATACACACACACACATACACAGTATACACACACACACACACACACACACACACACACACACATACATACATACATACATATACTTTTGGAGTAACTTTTCATTTGAATTTGACTGAACTTACTGTAAATGGCTGTGTGTGTGGAAGAATAAGCAAGAAACAAAATACTGGATGTGTTTGAGGCCTACCTGAGACATATGGCAGCTAGCCGCTCTATCTCTGTTTCCATGTGTTCCTGGAGCTCTCCGGGCCTGAGCAGCACCTGGCAGATGGGACAGATTGGAGCTTGGCTGTCATACAGGGACATCTTCTTTTTACCTGGAGACAAGATAGAACGCAAGCCAAAGGCAGAAACGTCAGTATGTGTATAGGACAAACATGAGCCAGACAATCATACAATTCATGTGGCCAGATTGTGCCTGACGTTAAGATGTGTTTTATTAATTAAAGTCCCCACTAATGATCAGGTTTGACCTTTTATCTGTCGGGAACTGCCTCTAGTGCCACACAAATGTTTTCTCTCAGTAACACATAACAAACACAAAAACAGCACTTGTTGTGTATTTCTTGGGCTCAAATTCATCCAATTGTGTTTGTATTTGTCGTGCCTCACACATTCGAGTTGTTGACTGGGAAGCACCTGATTTCAGCAAGGACACTCAAGGAAACGTCAGCTGTGTGTATTCTTGCCGGCACCGAGGCTTGAACTGTGGTCTCACTCCCTAAAATCACACAAATTAAGTGCATGCGCCTTATAATTCTGCTTTGCACATTTGACAAAAAAGGGTGCAATAGAGTGCTGTGCAGTCTCCATTGTGTCCTCTCAGGTCAGAGCAGATTTAAAGAAGTGTCAGCCATGGATGAGATAATGCTGTATAGAGTCTGCCAACACTACCTCACTTCATTGTCCTTGATCAGCAGGGCACAGGGTGGGGCCCACCTGTATGTGTGTCTGTGTTAGTGTGTGTCTCATTGTGTTTCTGCGGTTATGTGTGTATCGGAAAGTGTGCACTTTGCATTTTTTGCATGTTACAGTCTTTGTGCCTTTGTGTTTCTGTGTGCATACCTACAGTAGTATACATCCTACTTTTTCAAGTGTACCTTTGAGTCTGGGCTGGCTAAAAATAACATCTATTGAAAGTGTCTCAGAGCTTAATGTTGGAGGACACTTCCTGATTTCCTGTATTTAGCCAATGAAACAGGCTTTTTTTAGTCCGCGAACAATAGACTCTGCTTTAACCAGGATATCCCGTTTAGACTACTCGTCACCATGGCAACAAGAGGACCAGGTAGGGGGACTCCCTCTGTGTCTTTGGTGTTTCTCCCTCGTTCTCTCTCTCTCACACAAACACACACACACACACACACACAGTATATACATACACATGCACACGCAGCCCTCTGGGGACACGTATCCTTGCTCACATATTGGTCTGTCAGAACAGTTTCCTGCAAGAGAACTCATCAAGAGACAACTAGTGGGGAACTCACACACACACACGCACATCACCGCCCCCTCCCACCCTTTTTTGGAGCGTGTGTGTGCATACTGGGCTCCCATTCTCCTCAACTGCTACTTAACAGAGCCACAGCACTGGACACGTTAAGTGACTTTGAAAAATAGGTAATCGATTACTCTCTGTCCCTCTCTCTCCGCCTCTCTTTCTCTACCTTTTTTTTTTCTTTTTCCACACCTAACCCTCTCGCGCTGTTCCTCTCCAGGCTCATCCATTTCTAATTTTCTGCTCCCTACCATCCATTTATTTGTTTCATTTCTTTCTTCTCCTTTCTTCTATCTTTCTTCTCCTCTGAGATTTTTTTTCATTGTTGCCTCTCTTTTTTCACCTCTCTTTCTTTCTTCTTCCACTTTTTTCTGTTGACCCATCACTTTCTCCTTTCCTCGCTCATCTGCTTTCTTTCCTTCTCTGCCTCATTGTGTCCTCCAGCACGCTCCCTTTAGTGTATTTCCCTTTCGATCCTTGTTTCTCCATCTCTCTTCCTCTACCCCCTCCTTGCTCCCCTTTATTGCGTTGACAAGATAATTTGAGTCATGCTAAAGCCATCGCCATCCGCCACAGCAAACAAAGAAAGATCCAATCCCGGTCTGCAGCTGATGGGGCTCTTTCTATTCCGTGGACAAACACACACACACACCTGGAGGAAATGGACGCACAAATACACACATAGGCATGCACACAAACATTACCAGCACTTGATTATTTCTAGGCTTTTGTAATGTTTTATAAAAGTAAATGCTTATTTTGCACAGTGGGAGTTTACCTTTTAGCATTTCCACTTGCAGTGGTTTTCTTTTGAATTGTGGAATTTGATGTATGGATGTGACATTTATTTGTATTATTTAAAAAAGTGGTGAAAAAGAAATGTAAACGCATGGGCGTGTCAACAGAATGTCAACAATCAACAACAGGAAAGACTAAAGTGGTAAACTGCAAACACATACAACACACACTACACACACTCAAATGACACTTGCTTTGATGCAATGGAACAGGTGGAAATTCAACAGCCTGTCATGTGATAAAGTTGTCTACCAGAGTGGGAAATTATCTTTAGCTTACCAAAACATAAAAGTGGCACAAAAATATGTAAAATGTGCAACAAAATATGGTAACAAAACCCCAGCAAAGTATAAAACACAGTAACAATAAATAAATTAACAAAACATGAAATAATAATATGTGGAGCAAGATTTCCCAACAAGGTGATCCAAATTTGGTATTTTGCAATGAGTCTGCTTTTTAGCTAAATCAAAGTACCTGTCAGAAGTTTTACTTGTCATCTCTTTTGTCTTATTGTTTCTGTTACATTAATGTATTTCCTGTTCTCTCTTCTCTTCATCAAATCCATGGGTTTTTCCCAGCTTGTTTGCTGTCGCTGTCTCCCCCCCCCCATTTTTTTTTATCATTCTCACCCCTTGTGTTTCTTTCCTTTCCTCCCTCTGTTTCCCTCTCTCTGTCAAACGCTCCCTGAAGGAAGTGAGTGATGGGGATAGGCGAATGGACAGATAAATCCAGGGGAGGAGAAGAAGAGGAGGAGAAAGGGGGGAGAAGGGCGTTGGGGTTGGGGGGTGTTGATGTGATGTGATGTCGCACACCAGGCTTGTCAGCGCCTTAAAGATGATTAATGTCGGGGCAAGACACACATACGCATGTACTTCCCGCATGTCCCGCTTTGGACCTCACAGCTCAAACACACACACACACACAGCCTGAGGCGCAACAAGGGTGCGTTTAATCTCAGGGAGGAGAGGGAAGGTATGAGAGTCACAGGAGGGAGATGAGGGGAGAGGAGGATGAAGGAAAAGAGAGGGCTGGACAATAACAAGGAAATAGGCCTGACAGGACTTTTTAGTGTTGAGATTCTTCAGTGAAATGCCAGCTGGCGGAGCGAACGAAGGATGGATGGATGCATGTATGGAGGACAGGAGAGAGGAGGTGTGCATCTCTCTGACAGCCTTGATGGAGTGTAGGCTTGATCCACCCTAATGTGCCAAGATGGATCATCTCATCTCGCTTTCTCCATGACTTTCCATCCCTTCTATCTTCTATCCCCCTCCATCTGTCCTTTTGCCTCACTCTATTTCTCACAATCATCTTCCCATCTCCCATTTTCTCGATTTCACCCTTTTGTTTCTCCTCCCCGACCTCTATCTCTCTCTCTATTCTTTCTCTTTATTCAACCTGATCATCCCTCTATCACACGCTCATCTTTCACCATCTTCCATCTTTTTCATCTCTGTCACTTGATCCACTTAATGGCTCTCACTGGTTTTTGTTCATGTCACAAAACAGTATGTCACCGGACTGACAGGAAGCATATCCACTGACTTTTTGTATCTTCTGTCTGATTTATTTTCCAGCTGCTGTAGTACTGACATGTACACTTTGGCTGGTCTAACTCAATCCAGACTTTGTCAGGGGAATGTTTACGAGAATCACAAATTTTCCTGCAACAAGTCACTTACATAATCCTTTATTTGACATGCTGCTGAAAACATAAAATAGAATTTAGTACTGTAAGAAATTACACAGTGAGAAATCAAATCTGCTGGATTGATGAATTCAACATGAAGTATCCTTCTGTTGTGTGTATGTCTTTGATTCTGTCTGAGTAATGGGTAGGCACTTTTATACAAGATGTAAGCCAGCAAAGAGCCACTGAATATGATGTTTTGTGACAGCAATATAATACAGGCTATGCCTTATATTCTTCATAGTTATCATCATATGTTTTGTGTATATTACACTTATTCATTTACTTATTGTGCTCTATAAATAAATCAGCTTGAGATGACTTCATTAACTAAACAAACAACTGCTTTTGCCCTAATTAAAAAAAATAAAATTATATATATATACACACATATACACACACACACACACACACACACACACACACACATATATATATATATATATATATATATATATATATATATATATATATATATATATAGGTAAATAAAGGTAAAAACAAACAAATATCATATAAGCCATACTTAACATTAAATAAGTTCTTGAATGGACTTTTATATGCCTATATGTTTTAAATAATCACACATATATACACACACAGCTAGACAGGTAAATATAGACACCAGATGGAGAGGCAGAGAGAGCTAGATTATGCAGAAGAGTGGAGAGCAAAGAGGAGGAATCTATTTATATTGTATTTTTACTTTTGCCCTTGCTTTCATCCTACTACTCTTCCTTTCCTTCACTGCCGTTCTTCTTTTACATCCACGGTTTGGTCCTTGTGCTTTCCCCCCCCTTCTTTCCTTCCTTACTGCCTATCATCATTCTCTCCTTTCTTCCTCACTTCATTATTTTATTGTACTCCAATTTTATTTTTCTTCTATCCTTTGTGCACCAATAAATATGTATGACCACTATAGGACATTTAAAATAAAATCTAGTTTGGGTTGCAGTAGCTCTTTAGCCAATAGCTGATGAAAATGTATCAAATGTCAGTCCTCATGAAGCAAGTTTAATCCCTTCTTACACTTAAAACAGTATCCTTTATCTACCTCCATTTTTTTTACATTTTCTCCTCTGCTGCACACACACATCTTCTCTCTCTCTCTCTCTCTCTCTCTGGGTCTCAGTGTCTCTCTCCCCTCTCCTGTTTTGCTTTGGTCCAAATGAAGTGGGAATCAATAGATGCTAGATAGCGCAGGCTCCCAGTCACAGACTACAATGAGCTGAGGTAAAAGGCCACCTCCAGAGAGGACAGGGATTGTCAGCTCAATACTCGCTCTCAATGGGGCCAGAGATAAAAAACCATTTGGGGTGTCCTCA